TCTTGTGTGAAAGTATGTCTATAAGCCATTTTATAAATGTATAGTGGTTTCCTATTGTCTCCTGAAAACCCAGAAAAAGGGTAATACGTTATTGAAAATTAAAACAAATGCCACAAGTAAATATAATGAGCAAATGACTGAAAATTCTAATAAAACATGTTCATATTGTAATGTCTTACATTACGTTGTCAAGCGCCCAATGTACTAAAGTTAGTACAGCAGCAGTTTGGGAGTTATATTATCAAAGTCTATAAATGAAATTAACTTTTTGATATTTATTAAGTTAGGTTATAATGTTATAAAGTAAAAAAGGACCTTTTCTGACTTTTTGAATAACTTAAACCATGTAAATAAAATAAAGAAGTACTCACCGAAGAACACGAAAAAATCACTGATACAAAATCTCAAATTACCCTCATACAATTTAATAATTACGTTTCGATTTATGTATACACCTACTGCAAGGTCTGCTAGGGACCCTTTCAAATTATTGCCAGAGCAAAAATATTAACTTTGTAAGTTTTATCGTAGTTTAAAGTGGTGTACTATATATAGTACGGCAGGCGCTAATGGGTTAATATTATAAACAGGAAACTTTTGTATATTTGTTTGTAAATAATAACACATGAAAGAAAACTCATAAAGTAGGAGGCGATGTTTCAAAAGGTACACTGTTCGACCTGGAAATGGTTCCGTCATATAACTTCTCGTGTCGTCTAAAAATACAACGTAACTAACTGAACGCGTCTTGTTTTCCATGTGCATCAGCTGTTTGTGATTCTAGTGTTTTATAGGTTCGTTGTCATAATATTTCGTAGTTTGAAATTATGTTACCACTAAATAGATATTAGTCAGTCTTAGTCATTCCATCGTATACGAGTTACGATGGTGCCGCATTGTCTGAATGTCATGCGCAGGCGTAGACTAAGCAGGCGCGGGCGCAGTAAAGATATTTTGGTTTGGCGGGATGTCTCTTACTCTATTGAATTAATATAGGTACCGACCTAATGTGAACTTCGAATTACAAGTGTGTTGCTGGTTTTTATAAAGGAGTATATTGTTGAAACTCCTATCGATTCAAAGTAACTAAAAGCGAAAGTTCCACAATTTATTACTTATTGTTGTCATCTAGACAAGAAACTGCTTTCGCAACCATTAGCAATCCTGGTGGCGAATTCAGGCTCTTTGAAATTTTTTTAAAAGTAATTTGAAAACTGCCGCAGTTTTTGTCCTGTTAATATTTGTGCGACACTTAAAAAAATATACCGTATTCACACATCAGGTGTTTGTGTTTCTAGTCGTTTATAGGGATCGCTGAAATATGTTTGTTGTTATATTATTTGATAGTCTGTAAGGGATGCTGAGTTTGCATGTGGATGTTGTGTTTCATGAGCTTGTTTTCTCACGTTTATTGAAAATACACGAGTGTTATTGTATGAAATATTGGCATGCTTGTAAGTTCTATTGCGAAAAGATGGATAGATTATGAAAAAGATAGTATCTGATAGGGAAGAATGGAAACAAGAGACATTGTGCAGCCCTTGTAGCTTGGGATAAGAGCAGGAAGACCTTAAAGCTATACTTACTAAGTATCGTCGCGAAGAACCTAACGGGTTATCGGGGCTCCGGCTCGAAGCGCAGGAGTTGGAACGGTGTGGTTTTTAGTCAGTAAGAGTGACACTCCCTCCAGCTTCACCTAGGCGGGAGAAGCCATTCGATGAAGCCAGTCGATTCAATTATCTCCCCTTAAAAAAATACTAAGTATAACAATTATTTTTCGACAGATACGTTATAAATGAGTTTCATGTAATAAGGTGCGAGCAGATACTATGCTACATAGTATAAAACAAAGTCGCTATCCGCCGTCTGTCTGTCCCTATGTAAGCTTAGATCTTGAAAACTACGCAACGCATTTTGATGCGGTTTTTTTTAATAGATAGAGTTATTCTTAAAGAAGGTTTATCAGTGCCGGATTAAGCCAGCGCGGGGCCTGTAGCAAATTATGTCTAGGGGCCCTTGGTTTGCTATCGGTTCTCATTTGGGCATTGACTTTTGGTGCCTTTCTTTTTTCTGGCGTCAGTCGATGATTTATGGAAGATATTGTCTGGAATGATATCACAAACGAAATTGTCCCCATATACATATATGAAAGTGAGCCCATAGGGCTCATGTATGGAAATCTCAGTCTGGACTGAGTTATGAGCGTTGAAAGGAGCTGAAGTCAAACATTTTACTTTGGTTTTTTTTATTCAAATCTTATATCTTTTACCATTATCTTATATACTTACTATTATATAAAGCGAAAGAGTTTGTTTGTTTGTTTGTTTGAATTACTAATCTAATCTCCGTAACTACAAGTCTGATTTGAATAATTCTTTTTGTGTTGGATAATGCATTTATCGAGGATGGCTATACGCTATAAAACATCACGCTACGACCAATAGGAGCCGAGCAGAGCGTGTGAAACCGCGCGGAAGTAGCTAGTTATTCATATTTTTGTCACAATTCCCAACTTTAAATTGCGTGCAACTGTACGTCGGGCGCAGGAATACCATATCACACCACAATATATTCATATTGCCAGGCACTAATTTTTATTACCTATTTTCTCTCAGTCGATAACTTGTGGGATGCTTCTAGGAGTTGTGTCATGAAGCTTCATGAGCGTCAGCTATGTTACCAGTGGTGGGTTGAGCGGTGGTAGCCGTGCGAACATCTAATAAAGTGTATTTTGTTTTGCCATTGACTCCTGGTGGGAGACTCATCTACTTTATAGTTCGCATAATCTTTTGTAGAAAGGAAACCGTCGACTTTGTAAAGTGATATACGTCAGATGAGCGTATATTTTTTTTTTCATATAATGTGATCAGTCGAAATATAGTCCATCACTTTGTGACTGAATGACGATATCTTTGTACAGAATCTTATGCTAGCTCTAGATTAGAGTATTAACTGTAGTTAAATTAGTGACTAATCGGGAGTAGGTCGGGAGAAGTAGACAGAAAAAAAATTTTTTCGTGTTTCGACGATTGCCACTACTCAATGCGCTACCGACGCCGCAGCTGACAAACATAGCATTTCGTGATAGGGCTCAGTAAAGTATTTTGCGGGTTTTCGACTGAGAGGGTATTGAAACTTACATGAAAATCTGTCATAGGCCATAAACCGTATACATAGGTATAAAGTGAACACGCTAGCCAAGCAATCGAAATGTTTTTTTTTTTTTTTTTTTACTTGAGCAGTGGCCAGTTAAAGACTCTGTTATGATTCCGTGGCCTTATAAAAACAAGTGCGAGTCGGACTCGCGCACCGAGGGTTCCGTACAAACCTGCAAGGTTTACAAAGTTCGTTCATTACGACATATTTTGTAATGTAACTAAAAATTTAAGGTTTTCGGAATTTTTCCTTTATGTGTGCTATAAAACGTTGCTTCATGCCAAATTTCAAGATTCTAGGTCGACTGGAAGTACCCTTTAGGTTTTGATTCCCTTGCGAGTACTTGCGAGTTTCAAAATATGCAGCTTAAATTGCTGTTTCTTTTGATTGCGTTGACATAGAAGTTTGATTTTGTTACAGCTTAAAGGTATTATAGACCTGAGTATTTGGTATGAATTTCAATTTAATACCTCTACGCGTTTATGAGGAAATGGGTAGTAAGTTTAAAATTATTAAAAAAATATATATTATGTGATGTAACTAAAAATTTATGGTTTTCGTAATTTTTCCTTTATCTATGCTATAAGACGTTGCTTCGTACCAAATTTCAAGATTCTGAGTTCACGGGAAGCACCCTGTAGGTTATGATTCCCTTGCAAGTGTCGAAAATTTGCGACATAAACGGCTGTATCTTTTGATTGTGTTGGCTTAGAAGTTTGATTTTTTCACAGCTTCAAGGGACAGTAGACCTGAGTAATTGATATAAATTGATATAAGCTTCATACCTCCACGCGTTCCTGAGAAAAAGAGTCTTGACAGACGGACGGACGGACAGACTGACAACAAAGTGATCCTATAAGGGTTCCGTTTTTTCCATTTGAGGTACGGAACCCTAAAAAGAAGTCCACTATAAGCTTTACTATATTCCTTTAAATCGTTTATAAACATTTATTACAAAATATTTCTGACAAGTAAATGAAGAAATATGCGTTGTGTACGGTCACCATCAACAAAATAACAGGAATAATATAGCAATATTTTCACATCTTTGAACTGATTTAACTCGGTTTGGACTGTGTTTTTGATATAAGGCCCCATATATTTTTTTGTTTGTAATGTTATTCTGCATCAGTTTTTACACATCCAATAAACTGCCACGAAAAATAAAAAGGCACCACGCTCCATACAAATTTGGTCATTGTCATTTAGGGTATTATTTACATTAAACAAAACTGTTACAAATAAACTTTTCTGGATTTGTTATGGGCAAATTTAGCGATTACACTTTCAATATCGACTTCTTTAAGCTAGTCATGCTCTATATTCAACATTGTGAAATGATTAAGACGTCCTTGGCCCATAGTGTTCCTTAATTAATTCATTTTTGATTCGTTCAAATCGGGCTCGGTTCGCCCGCCAATGGCACCAACCAAGCGAACAAATAGTCACTTTCCTTTTCTTACACATACAAAATACCGACTATTTGTCTTTTTTCGTTAATTTCGTTAAGAAAAAAAATCAAATTACTTGTAGGTTGGTAGTAGTTTTGTAAACAAAACATTTTCTTCATAAGTCTTGCTTTTGAAGTGGTGTTATTACGAAATACCTATTTGAGCGCGGGGCCCCCCAATCCGCGGGGCCCGTAGCATTTGCTACTCTTGCTACGTGGCTAATCCGGCACTGAGGTTTATATGTATAAGACATGCATATTGCAGCCATGCGAAGCCGGGGCGGGTCGCTAGTAATATGATAATACACACTCCATGTTTAAATTATGTTCTGTTTCGTGCAATATTTGTAAACTTTATGCCCAATATTAATATGTATTATTTCTATTATTTCAGAGGTTCACACAATATCTAGCATCGAGTAATTCAACATTTCAACTTAGCAATTTTCTAGACAAAAGCGGCGTACAAGGTATGTACAGAACATGTTTTAGTCACTACATATAAACAAATATCAAGTTAATATACTGCAAATGATGTTATACCTAATATTTTAATTACTACCTTATCGTTCAATATACCTATTTTATTTATGCATCGAATATTATTTGTACGTGGGCTTGTTACTACATAATAAGGAAATCCTTACGAACGTGATAACAACTCCAATTATGTAATTAATCCATTTACGGAATATTTATCCTAAATTAAGTATCATTCAGTTTACTTACGCTCGAAAAGAAACAAAAATCTTACCCTAATTTAGGTTAAGGGCAAGGTCTTGTTATTTAAATTTATTTTCTATAGCTATGACATCAAGTGTTATTAAAACTTGTTACATGTCGTTCTCAAAGCGTAATATCGAAACGATATGTACCTAAATGTCTGGATATTAGTTTAATACCTCATGTCGCAGATATTGGAAATGGATACCGAAAGCGACCTTACCATTTTACGAATAACTTGGTATATCATATAAACTATCTTCCTGTCCTTTATCGAGTTTGTTGGGGCTGTGGCGACACATGTCACAAGTCAACGGATGACGTCATAAAAATCCTACATCGCACATGCGAAGTTTACATTCGATTTAACATGGATAGAAAATCCCAACGAGCAACTGTTGGGCAGAAAGCCCGCCAGGCACGATCACCTCGCCTGGTCGGAGGATCCTCCTTTTCCGATCTTAGGGAACTATACTCTCTGTTCCCTAAAGGGCCTAACTAGATGCGACTGAATGTCAATATTTTACATTGAAGGACGTTTTATAGCTCTTCTAGAAGGGAATGTAAGGATAGTATGAATTTTAGGCTACGCATAGCAACCAGGTATTTTAGACGTTTATGGGCTTGATATCTTACACTTTTTTATTGAGGGGAGGAAAACATGTAATGACTACTCCCGCCTTGGGTTAGAAGAGAGGGAGTGTCAGAGTCTTATTGACTAAAAACCATCTCTTTCCTACTCCTGTTCTTCGAGCCGGAGGCCATTGGCAACCGGTTAGGCCTTCGACGGCTGCGTATCGGGCATCAGCCCTATTGGGCTGTGGCTATCTGTGGTGGTGATATTATTACGCAGAAATCTCTATTTACTAATAGACATTAATTAAGGAGTAACTTAGCAAAGTATAAAGTTATAGTCTAGAATATATCCCCGGAGCTGCAGAAGACCTAGCGGGTTATAGGCTCGAGGCAGGAACGGGGTGGTTTTAAATCAGTAAGAGTCTGACACTCCCTCTCAACTCATCAAAGGTTAGAGAAGTAATTGGATACCTATCCCCTCTCAAAAAAAGTCTAGAAAAGTCTATCTCTAGAGTAAGTCTATCCTTAGCGACAATTTTAACCATTAAGTTCAAATTGTATTAGAAAAAAAACAGGCGTACTTCAGCAGATTGCGTGTTAAAAAATAGTAGCGTGCTTAGAATGTTAATAGAACATAATTTATTATTATTGTAACGAATTTCCTCATTTCTTTTTTGCTATAAATTAAGTAATCACTTTACACTTGACCTATTTTTCAAGTACTGCCGAAAAATAAGTAAATAATATGCTGTCTCGGCAAAAAATTACATAATACGAGTAACAATCCACTGCAGACGTTTTAGCGTAACATTTACGAGTGGTTTGGTAAATATTTGGTAAAAAATCGCAGAACTGTTAAGAGGTACAAGTATTATTTGAGATATGTTTCAAAGTGTCTCTAGCTTAACATGAATCACACAAAATAATATCTGCCTCGTTGGCCGAGTGGTCGCAAGTGCGACAGCCAGCCAAGGGGTCTCGGGTTCGATTCCCGGGTCTGGCAAAGTATTACTGGGTTTTTAAAAAAACTCAGTAGTAGCACGGAGTCTGGAATTGTGCCCGGTATATGGCAATAGGCTCACCCCCTATAACATGGGACTCATAACGTAAATAGTGAAAAATGGGTGTTACATTGTACAGTGGCATAATGTGCACCTCTTCCTACCCCTTCGGGGATAAAAGGCGTGATGTTATGTATGTATGTATGCAGCTCCTAGTTATCTCACCAAGATTCACAATTATCAAAATCAAATACTCCCTTAGTCATGTCATACTGACATACAGTCTTCCAAGTTCTTATTGAAATTCGATTTTGTGGTTTCTCTCAATGTCCGGTTATGTCCGGAAACACTCCGTCTGTATTTGTACTTACACATTCCTATGTACTATACTCATTCATTCGCAGTTGGCAAGTCTCATTCATAGCTGCACTGCTGCAGAAATTGTAATCTGTTTGGAAATAGACATTATTGTTTTCGCCGACTGGAAAGAAGAAAGGGTAGCCATAATCGACTACAGTGTAAAATCCCACCATTACGAGTATGTCAATTTGATAATCAACACACATAATCTTAGGAACTAGGACTGCCTCGTTGGCAGAGTGGTCGCAACTGCGACTGCCGGGCAAGGGGTCTCGGGTTAGATTCCCGGGTCAGGCAAATTATTACTGGGCTTTTACAAAAAATCTCAGTAGTAGCAGGGAATCTGGAATTGTGCCCGGTATATGACAGTAGGCTTACCCCCTATTACATGGGACTCATAACATAAATAGTGAAAAGTGGGTGTTACATTGGACAGTGGCATTAAGTGCCGTAATGTACACCTCTGCCTACCCTTTCGGGGATAAAAGGCGTGATGTTATGTAATCTTTGGAACTACTGAATGGATTTTTTTTTGTGATGCATATTCCGATTATCTTGCAAGGCTATAGGATATAAAACATTCCAAACAGGGCGGGAGCAGCTGGTAGGCACATAATGAAATTTAAAAAATCATGTAACCAGTACCAATTACACATGTCCTCCAGAAATCGATGCCCACCCGTAACTACCATTTCACACTGACTTAATTTGCGGCAGATTCGTGAAGCCGTAGTAATGCGGATGGTGGCCGATGTTATGCAACTATCCACAAACGAGCTGTGTAGTTTTACGTTGTACACATCGAAATATACAAAACCATTTTATCATGGTCTAGCTTTGTATGATCTTCCCGCTTCCTCTTCGGTCAGTTTATACTGGTTTGCTTAGCTTGATTTGTAGCTATTATACGTCATTACATAGTGCGATGCCAACTGCCAAGTAATCTTGGCGCCCTATAGGCTATGTTAAAGTAGTTCTTTGTCTAAATTGGGTTGAATTTTTTTCGTCTGGCGTGTGATGGTGACTTGGTTTTTGGATCTGTCTCGATGGCCGTGTAGAGCCGTAAATTCGAGTGCTATACATAACGTCTAAGGTTCGATTCTTGACTTCCAGCTTTTCGATGTAAAACGTGCTGAATGATAAATGGAGCTAAGTTAAGTTAGAACGGTATCAGGAATAGGGTAGTTTCCTAAATTTTATTTTAATGTCCGTCTGGTACATTAATTTAAAACTTTAGACACGTATTTTTTCTTTTCTCACAAAATTAAATACTTTCGACTATATATTAATTTAAAATATCGTGTGACGTCACAGCGTGCCTCATTTTGTAGCACGTTATGACGTAACAACCTCCCACTCCTAAACTTAGCGCCATTTTATCTAAGTATTGCAACTAAATACGAGAAAATAAAAAAATACGTGTGTAATATTTTTTAATTATCTAACTGGCGGACTAATTAGATTTTTAATTTTGATTCCCTGGTAACTACCCAATTTTGCCTATTGCGTAAAAGTAATGAATTCTGTCTCCCCTCGTATTTTATTATGACGTAACCTATCACTATGCCAACCGAGCGTTGCAACTAACAATGTTCCGCTTTGAAGAATATGGCTACTATAGTGTAGTACATTCATGGTATTGCACTTGCATATGTGATGGGAAATGAGTTATTGATGCATCCGGAACTATAAACGGTCACTGTTTTGAAGTAACTAATCACAGAATAAAAGAATAGTGGGTGTAATATCCAGCAATACCTATCTAAAAACTTTGGCGCAGTACCACACCGTTCGACTCCGGCGTAACATGTCGCGCATTCGAGTTTTGAACGAAACAACAATTTTTACAAAATGCGAATTGTTCCATCAAGACTAAATACGATGTGTATGTAAAAAGTGTCTGTTTGTTGCATTACACAAAGATTAATTATCATGAAAGAGAAACTTTCAGTATATACCCTCCTCATTCATTAATCTACTTTATTAGCCACTAACACCTATTTTCACACAACTTACTAACCTAGGTCTTAGGAACTATATTAGTCTAGCTACGTAGGCGAATCGGTTACGTTTCGCTGACGTATGCATGTATGTGGGTACTATACTCAACGATATGACCGGTGACCTTTGAGGTCAACGACACCGTGGCCTCTGCTCACTCGCTAGAATATTTTTACAAGTTAAATATTTATATTATATCATATTTATGTATGTATGTATGTTATATGTAAATGTAGATATGATCGTCACGTTGGCTGTGTTGTGAATTTATGTTTTAAGAATTTAATTTATTTAGGTAAAATTGTCTCGTTGGTTTAGTGATCGCAAGCTCAGCTACAGAGCAAAGCGTCTTGAGCTGTGTAGGTTTTCAATAATTTTTGTGGTTCCATAGAATCTCGAATGGTTAATAGAAACTCGAGGAACTATCTAAAGACATTTTGAAATCGCCTGCAAGACAATTTTCTTTTTTTTTTATAAAAAAAATATTCATCTTGTTATTAGGTAATTAAATGATTAGTAATATTGTTGGCACAATTCATATCGTTTATTGCGTGAATGTATTGTCAACAAAACTGTTTATTTTTATTGTGGTCATTATTTTGAATGAAAATCAAAAACTTTATGAATCCGATGTTTACAGACCACTTGTCATATTCTGGTTTAATAATTAGTTTAGTTTAGTTATAAAAAACAAATAAAGATCGATGTACGTCCTTAAAAAGGTCAGATGTGTCATAAATACTCTCAGACGCGAATTTACGATCAATTGTATGATTGTTTAAGAAACCGTAGAATTTATGTAAGTTGTGCGTCGTTTTGACCTGTAACTTCGACATAGGCTAATAGGAAATTGGCTTGTATTATGCCACGTTTAGTTTGTTTTGTTGTTACTACAGATAGTTTACTCTACGCTACTAAAAAAGAGGTTAGAAGATGGTTTTAATGGCGTTTATTAATTTATGAGAGGGAAAGGACATTGGGTAGTTAGTTAAATTTTCCTTGTAGAAAGGATTGCGAATAAAATTATATTATATTCAGTACATAAACTACACAATACTAAGAAACAGAGGTTCGGCTTTTACTGTACAACAGATTTCTCTGAGAAGATTCTCCTCTCATTTAATTTGAATCACCACTTGAAAGTCATAATGTGAAACATTACATTACCATCGTAAAATAAATCACAACGCGGTTTGTTCGTACTCCACATTCACATCGATGTTGTTACTTAAAGTTAATAAATGTTTTACATTTATGGTGCTATTGCCACTATATTGTTTTACATTTATGGTTTTGCTTAGCTCTTTAGCAATGGCGACCAATAATTTTAATGCTGCATACAATCTTCTCATATTTCTGTATACCGTTTGACCTCCACAACCCTTTAACGCTACTGATTTTCACACCATGATAGTTGAGGTGGATTTAATTACTCATTGACCTTTCTTAGTGGCATTATTTTGCAATAGTTTCGTAAATAATCCATGTGACAGATGAGATATGAATCTCTGGGTGTGTGACAGTTACAAACTGTTGCCATTAAAGCACGGCTGATGTAGTTTGATGGTCACACGTAAACTATTGTAAGTACTAATTTTTATTGAAGGATTGTCTTTTAGATTAAATACTCTAGTTCGCGGAATTCTGTGACTTGAACAGACAATAGTTATTATAGTACAATTATTACTATGATACGGTTTTTTTTATATTATATCATAGTAAGCGATGATGCTGTCTACCATGGATCACGTCGTCCCATAAGCAACCTTATTCACTCGGGTCTTGAAGGCACGTTTTAAAATTTTTCTCTATAAAACTCTGGAGTTATCCTTTAACTGCCTATACGGAAAATTTATGACGATCTATGCGCAGATAAACAAGGAGATGCGAGACCCTTTTTAAATTTGGACAAGGAAATTGTCTTGCAGAAATAGATAAAGCGATAGAAACGTTTTCGTAAACTGTTATCTTCTCGTTAAACTTACATATATCTTCGATTAATCACTATTGTAATACTATTAGTACTATGACAATAGTATAGAATAGAATGTTGTACTCCAGTTACGAATAAAAACAGCACATTGTTACTATGACTAAGAAAAACATTATATGACGCATAGAGGAGTCAGTGTCCTGAAAGTTTGTCTCTAAAACACACTTGTGGCGTCGAAATGTCCCGCCGCTTATTATATAGGTTCGTTAAAATGGGGTTCCACTCTGTATGGTTTGTCTGGTCGCAATATTAGAAGAAATATGTTGTATGTAGGTTGGAATGGAAGCCTAGGTTACGATCTTGTACTAATGAGAACCTAGAATTAGGTAACAAAGACAGTTTTGAGATGATTGTATGTAACATGAATGTAGTGTGAAGTGAGTTTTAGTGAGAAGGTGTTTAACATGTAAACTTGGTATTTATATCATTAGATTGTCTATGACTAAGTTTAAATGGCAGCACTGATGTAACTTTGGTTATTCACAGGCGCTAGGTAAATGTCAATGACGTCTACATAATTATGAATCTCCCAGTACAGTAGTATTTTCATAAGAGAAATTTAAAAAAATGACGCCATTTATATAGTTAAAAATCTACACCTAATCTTAAGACATACTCTTACTATCAGACACCTGATTACCTAGAAAAAACTTGGTATATTGAATACATCATTTGCAGTATTTTAATAAGTATTTATATTACTTATCTATATCGCATAAAATGCATGTTACAAGCCAGCATATCTCTATATCGGTTGATATGCGTGACTAAAACTATGTAGGTCTGGGTAAACCATATTATTATCCTTATCTAAACAATTACGTATTCGCTTCGATTTATTAATTAATGTTTAGCATCCATTGATAAATCTGCTTTTAAACGTGTATGCTAATATAAACGATTGTGTTAGCAATGTTAAATTCGGCCATATTATTTATTTACCTTGTATTAAATTAGGTAAAGGTAATACAAGATTTTTTAAATCGATTACTGGGTTTATTCAAATTTTAATTAATTAACTGAATTGATTTACATTTTTATATATCTCAGTGTTAAACATTTTTAAAAGGCAACTTGTCAAATGTTTCATATTTTATCTGTGGTACTATTTGAGTTTCGTTTGAATGTTGCCAGTTTTCAAAAATATGTAATAGACAATAGACATAACGAGTCAATGTTTTCTTACGTGGCAATGCCTGATTGCGTGGATAGCAAAATAAGGTATTTAAAATAAGGAATAAGGTTGTAACGAATAATTTTTGAATCCGTATTTTTAACTTTAATCCATAATGGGTATAAATAAATTAAGAATTATATTACAGCTTAATGTTATACTAGGAAGTATTTTTCCAAATCTATGTATAGAAACGGGAACTTTTTAATGTTCTTGGTGGATGCTGTCTATGTATTGCATCGTCAAACACAGCAATGCCCTGTCTTGAGCACTTGCACTTTATACAGACCGCACTGGATGAAAGACACCAGCATATATCCCCAACATAGAAGTTGTTAGGAACTCTTGAACATCCCGGTTTCCAATCTTCAATTATGTAATTTATTTCGTGAAATACAACTGTCTAACTGAATTTAATTTTCCCTAATGCTTGGCAAGGCGCGGCCGGTGCCCGGATTGGTGAGTTTAATTATAAAATGGCGGCTTTTGTAAATGTCTGTCCGTCTGTTCACGTGTCGTTTAGCTGTACACGCTTGGATTGGGTGCAATTTTTTTTCTATTTTCGTTTTTTTTTTGCACTGTTCAGATTTGCAGATTTGAGGCTTGATTTTAAGCACAAATTTTTTATGATGACTGATTTCTTTGACTACTAAAACATTGAAATATATTGGCCTATCAGTTAGGCAACCTCTTTTCTATCTATAGTTATCATTAGTCTCTTTGTTTTGTTCATAGGCATGTATGTGCTTGCAATTTCCTTTCTTGGATACGGTATTACAAGAAAACACGATACCGATGAATTGGGTTAGATAAACTCATTCAGTTTTATTTTTTGTAGTCATCATTTATTTTACATCTGTTGTTTTTTATTAGTAACGATACTATTCAATCCATTGTTATCTGGACTTATTCCAATTATAAAATCTATAATTATTATTATTGCTCAACTTTTTCAATAATAGAGCACATACTGAGCAATGAAAAGCATTGATAAATATAACAAATCACTTAGTAATAATAAATTAATTGTATTAACTCATTGATAGACGCGGTTATTAGTTGATTCAACTCATTCACGTAGGTAGGTCACAGTACTTAGATAATTTTGTTATTAATTATTGCACTTCAGTACAATGTAGGTAGGGGTGACATTCTTGTTATTTGTATCACTGAAAATTTACAAACTAAACTAAGACTATCTTATTCAAATTGCTTTAATTAATTATTGCTGTTTTTGGAGTTAGTTATAAAAGCTTTTAAAAGATTCTGGAACTATGAAAAGGGGCATATCTGAAAATGTCTTCTTTTAGCAATTACCTCTGGTTAGCAACCCTACAAGATATTTAATGCGAGCAAGCGATAACCTAAATAGTTAGACATTGTGCCAAACCGGAGACGTCAAAGGCTCCAATTTGGACTTAATAATATTTGAATATAATATAATTTCTTCATAACAAGTTTTAGTATAATTCAAGAGATGTAAAGCAACTAAGAATGTCAACCCTAAAATGCACATGCACTGTAAATCGTTGCATGATTTTGATTTATTTTATTTTTGAACAGCTTTAGCATTTGCAAGTAATGTCCGCGTTTTGTTCAACAATGCATATGTGTTAGCTTTATTTGTTTTGATATTTTTTTAAGAATAAATTTTGTTCTTCTAGCATCTACTTTCGGTTTCTGTAAAATCTTTTAATTGTCATTATCCCAACTAGATTGGGACCAGTATTGAGTTTGAGAATTAATTGTATGATATTGAAGTAATGGTACAGAAACGGAAAGTAAATGGAAGTTCAAAAATGCTCGATGTGTCTTTGGTTTGTTTTACAAGCCTGTTGAATTTTGAGCATAACTGAATCACAACATTGAGAAGAAATATCATCACAATTCACAATTACCAAGCACACTAAACTATGTGTAAGTAGTTATAGTGGAGTATATTAATTAACAATAATATTATAACAAAAGAGGTGCCCATCTCTTTTGTTATATAATATTATTCAGACCTATTGAAGTGGTCAAAGATTTCTTTTTGAGTTTTAAACCGCCTCGTTGGCCGACTGGTTGCAAGTGTGACTGCCGGGCAAGAGGTCTCGGGTTCGATTCCCGGGTTAGGCAAAGTATTACTGGGTTTTTAAAAATTCTCATTGGTAGCACGGAGTCTGGAAATGTGCCCGGTATATGGCAATAGGCTCACCTCCTATTACATGGGACTCATAACATAGAATAATAGTGAAAAGTGGGTGATACTTCTGTGTGCACCTCTGCCTACCCCTTCGGGGATAAAAGGCATCACGCCTATGTTATGTTATGTTTGGAACCAAGTGAGTAATGTAGAAAAAGATGAAAATTGTTATTGATAGTATAATCTGTGATTTTGCTTGTAAATTCAATCAGTTTTATGCAATAGGCTTTATAAATAATAAACAAAAAGTCTTTGACAATGATAATGATGATTCAATCACTCGTTAACAAATTCCAGAGTAATTTGACAATAAAATACTCATTATAACTACTTCCAACACACATGCATGACTCACATCACAATCTTCGCTCGAGAACAGAACCTGTTTCATTCAGCCTGTCTGTCCAGGATATGACATGTCTCCGTTCATCCGGCGGTACGCCAAGTACCTCAATGAGAAGGCGCTGTCCTACAGGACTGTGGCCTTTGACTTCTGCAAGGTTAAAAGGGGGTAAGTGTCCTTTAGCATTTGACCTTTGAAGGGTTGTAAAATATTGGCTTTGAAGTTTTGATGTAGTTTGTAGATGAGGTTATCCAATAAGCTTTATTACGTTCTAGCACCATTACATTATTTGTTTTATTTAACTTTGAATAGATAGTGAGAAGTTGTACCAAAAACGTCTTGCAAAACGACCCTGTGTCCTGTTACGCAAAACAATAAGTTTAAATCATTGGAGTGAATGATTAGTATATATCTTTTTAGTGATATAGCAGGAAATATTTTTATATACAGCTATTTAATTAAGAATAGTTTTCTTTTAGGACACTTAAACTTACCTTAGGCACAAAATTACTCTTCTAAAGCTTCGTAAAGACTTAATGCCAATCTTAATCATAACCAGTCAGCGAGTTTATATCTATCACCATTGTTCTTCAGTAAGGAAGAAGGTTCCCTGCGAATGATGAACGCGGAGAAGTTGCTGAAGACACTGCCGGTGCTGCAGGCGCAGCTGGACGGCCTGCTGGAGTTCGACTGTACAGCTAATGATCTCACCAACGGAGTCATCAACATGTGCTTCATGTTGCTCTTCAGAGATCTCATCAGGTAAACCAGAAAAAGTTTTTTTTTTTCATGGAATAGGAGGCAAACGAGCAGATGGATCACCTGATGGTAAGCGATCAGCGCCGCCCATTGACACCCGCAACACTAGAGGAGTCACAGGTGCGTTGCCGGCCTTTTAAAAAGGAATTCGCTCTTTTCTTGAAGGTTTTAAGGTCGTATCGGTTCGGAAATACCGCCGACTACATATCATTCCACAGTTTTGCTGTGCAAGATAGAAAGATGTATGAAACAAGTATGCTCATTAAACTTAAAACTTAATAAGTTGAGTATAATATTCAGCCAAAGATCTAAATTGCTCTCAAGAGAAGTGACATTTATTTAAGCTCATTCTGCCAATCATCATCATCATCAGCCCGCATCCGTCCATTGCCGGACTTGAATATCTCCATTTATCATGATGGCGTAGTAATCTGTCATTTATAAGAGTAGTTAGATACTAAATCAATTAAGTTTTACAGCTTACTCTTACCAGCGTAATTGTTTGACGAGGTAGCTCAACTAGTTTCAAGCCAAGTCAGGGCACATAGTCATGATCAGCATTGCGCGACGCTCGACGCTTTTCAAACCGTAACTTTATAAGTAAAATGAGCAAGCCGTAAGACATAATTGATTTAAAATGTCGAGACGAGAGTTATTATACAGATATAGTCCATTACTTTGCCGTGCACAAGCAATGTCATAACGTAATCTTAACTAAAACGTAACATAATCTTGTAAACATTTCAGATTGTTCGCGTGCTACAATGACGGCATCATCAACTTGCTGGAGAAGTACTTCGACATGAACAAGAAGAACTGCCGCGAGGCTCTCGACCTCTATAAGAAATTCCTCATCAGGATGGATAGGGTCGGAGAGTTCTTGAAGGTAAAACTAAACACGAACAGTAATATATTGTATCACCTGCCTAGTTATCGGACTCATAACTGGTGGATCGTGTGCGTTACAATGTATGTGCATTCTCCTTCTGGCATTCACAGTCAAAGTCAAAATCATTTATTTCAATTAGACCAGGAAAACCTTTGAATGTCAACAACAAAAATAATTTAGAAGTGAAGCTAATTGCTCTTTCCAAGGTGTAGATTCCTATGGAGAAGGACGAGCAAGAATCTCCATAGGTTACTCTTTTTCAATCGGGTTTACAATACAGAGGCCTTAGTACGAGTTTATTTTACGTTCAAAGTAATCGTAACGAGTACGCGTTCGGCGCTCTGATTGGTTGGTTCATTGGCGCCGGCCAATCAGAGTGCCGAACGCGTTTAAACGTAAATGAAACTCGTACTAAGGCCTCTGTTCTCTTTACAATTAACATATTAAACGCCATGGGGGACCGGTGACCAACGTTAGCGGAGTATATACCTTCAACAGTTTTCTATTGGCAGTCAAAACCTTGAAACGTGATGCTACGTATATTTTGTAAGGTCTTATTTTCCAACGTAGACAAACATAGTCTAGTACACCCCCTAGCTAGCCAGTGGGTGGCATTACTAAGATGTGATCATGACAAATAGTCAACGGAACACCTATCTTTTCATGTTTAAATCTAAAGTATATTGAGTTAAGATCTAGGAATTCTAATAAAAAATTGTTTTCTTGTCAATAATTAGTTACTTTTATTTACTTAAACATACTTTTATATAAGCTAAGAACAACAACGCAACAAAATTAAACGTACAGTGCCACCTAGCAGAAAGTAAAATTAAATTACAAAGTAGGTAGTGTTACACTTTCTTATTAATTCAATAAAATACAATATAGTTTTTCGAATGAAATAAATATTAGAAATACTCAAATATTTTTTTGGAATATCCTCAATTCCGTGAGAGACGTGGTAATTCATATGAATGAAGGTGTGAGTAACACGTTGCGTTACCTACGTCAATACATATACGTACCTAAATACCTATATATGTACGTACATATTGGATGTGTGTGCCTATTACAAGTATTGGTTGAAAGGTGGGGCGCCACGTAATTCACTCGGCTTGTTTACAACACTATAAATAACTGTAATGACGTGAACAAATGTGTTGCCAACATAGTAGAAGAAATGTTTATTTGTAAATACACTTTTATTTCTAACAATGTCAAGGTTGGTGAAGCTCTATACAAGTTTTCTTTCTATGTACTTTGTAGGAGATGGATAATGAAGGCTTTCGGTAATGATAATTCAAAAAGTAAACCTTCATAATATGTAAGGTGCTCATAGGAAACTACCTCAATGTTTTTACCATACATTATTCCTGTTATTGTGTTTTCGGCTTACTCACGTAGTAATTTGACGAGGAACTCGACTAGTTTCAAGCCATGCTAGAGGCTCATATTCATGAGCAGCAACATAATAATTTATTTAGTATGTCTCACGAAATAGGAACAATATTTTTTATTGTAACAATACAAATATTATTCCTGTTATAGAATGAATTTAGTTTCAACTTTTTTAGCGTTATCATTAGATTGAGACTACAGCCCGACAAGGACATTCATCTCCTACTATAAAATATAATGATTTTTAGAAATGCCACAATTCAATTTTACTATAATACTTATCAACCTTAATCCCCAGGTGGCAGAGAACGTGGGTATAGACAAGGGTGACATCCCCGACCTGACCAAAGCCCCCAGCAGTCTCCTGGACGCCCTGGAGGGACACTTGGCCTCACTTGAAGGCAAGAAGGGCTCCGCTGCCAATACTCCCACACAAACTGCTAGGTGAGTGATTTAACTGGCTAAGTTATTGGTTCAATGGAAAAGGTTTCGAGTCTCTTGTTGAAAGGTTATAATGTTACTAAGAATTTTCCGCATTCTTAAATACAACTCACACGCTGTCGTGTTAATCTCATCAGATGATACTAATGTGGTGCGAGGTCCAGTTTATCCAATAGACAAGTTCAAAGCACTTCGAGCGCTACGGTGATTTCTCAAATTGGTCCTCAAGCTACCGCCATTGCCATAGCACCATCTAGTAATACTTCAATTACTGATGATTCAATTTATCGAGGCCTTAATCTCAGTACTCAGTCCTATATTTACTGTATAATTATTTATACGAACTTTCCCACAAAAATTCCAGCGCCCAAAAGAACGTAGCAAGCGTGATGGGCGCTCTATCGTCCACATCGTCATCGTTCGGTAACGCGGCCGCGTCCACTCGACTGGACAACCAGCCCAACGGGGCCTCGCCACTCTTCATAGACGACACCCTCAAACAACAGGCCTTGGCTGAGGAGGAGGCCGCTATGAACCAGTATAAGGTAAGAATACTCTTTATTTTAATACTTAATTATGACATTTGGAATTATAAAAACCAATATCCTACCAGTATCGGATTTAATCTAAGATATCTGAACAGGGAACTTGAAAAGTGTTGAATATAGTCTATAAAGAAAGGTGGAATATTTTGAACCATTTTGAATTGATAAATTGAAATATGTGATTATTACTTGTTGTAAAACAGAAGTATTTCAAGGGAGTTCCAATCAAGTCTGCCTCGTTGGCCGAGTGGTCGCAAGTGCGACTGCCGGGTAAGCGATCTCGGGTTTGAATCCCGGGTCGTGCAAAGTACTACTGAGTTTTAAAAAAATCTCAGTGGCAGCGCGGCATCTGGAATTGTACCCGGTTTATGACAATAGACTCACCCCCTAAAACCTTGGACTCATAACATAAATAGTGAAATGTGGATGTTACATTGTACAGTGGCATATAAGTGCCGTAATGTGCACCTCTGCCTACTCCTTCGGGGATAAAAAGGCGTGTGATGTTCCATTCAAACTATATGGTTGTCTTTATTTGATATTGTTGAGACACATACTAGATCTGACAGACACACTGTCAAAAACGCAAAAATTTTCTGTGCTCTTGAATATACTGGAAATGTAAATATGCTTTAAATATCAATAACAAAAAATAATTTAATCTGAAATATAATCAGTAACGAAACGACATTCAAGCAACAATAAATTGTCTTACAACATACTTAAAATATGTTTTAAATTTAATTAATATTATTTACCTAACGCCTAGGGCATACGAGCGTGGACCACTAAAGGAATATTAGCTAGGTGTAACATCCAATCGGCAGTGAGTTGACATCATAAAGTGGTTAATAAAAGGGTTGGAAACCAATCATAATTATCATTAATCTAATATATTTGTAACAGCATGTTAGCACAACACCTCGGATATACATAAAACTGGTGAGAGATAGTATTATACCCACGTTATTAATGGATAATGTAGGCTTGGTTGCTTTTTTAATATAAATGAGAATTAAAAATACTAGTTACATATAAATTGTGTTAAAATTCTATCTCTTGTAGTCAAATCTACTGATGAGAGAAATAGAATAGAAGAACTGTAAATTTAATATCTTCAATGTTTTATACAATGAAATATTGTGGCATTTATTTCTGTTAGGAACAGCCTGGTTTATAACCCAGATCACAAAGGTTATTTTCTCGCCGAAATTTCGCTTCTGAACAGTTGTTCGGATGCTAATCAAACATACGAAACCTACTCTTGCTCTTCGTTAAATTAGGTTCAAGTTCGACCCTACAACACATCATCATCAACAGCCAAAGGCCTCCCCCTTAGTCCTCCACGTCGAATGACAACTCGCCACCTGCATAGACTGATTCACTACAACACAAGACCAACCAATGAATGGCATACCCCATACCAGCCACACTTTATGAACCTATAATAGGCTTAACATAAATATTTCAGGTTCGATTATACCAAGGCGAAGAGTGGACAGGCGACGAGGATATATCAGAGATAGTAGTAAGATACCAGGGTACTATGTGTTGCTTAGGACACGGGCTTGGGGACTCAGTGTGTCATATCTGCTGTCGCCTTTATCGATATATCATGTCGTTATGGTCAGATGATGAATGTTCAGTGTGTTTGTAGACTTGGCAAAGTTAATTATGTCTTAGATTTCTTTTGACAGGGTGTTTGACTAGTTTCAAACCACAACAGGGGCTTATAACAAGCAGCATTGCGTGTCAAATGATTTAGACTCAGCCAATTGAAACTACCTGACAAATGTTGTGGTGAAAAGGCTATTTTTACTGTCATGTTTATTGCAATAGAGTCTATAATCGAGTGTTAAATTTCAAAAAGCTATTAAAATTAAATTATTGTGTTATTGAGCTGTGCTTTGACTATAACATTTTGGAATTAGTTCTAGCAGAAAAGTTTACTAATAAAAATAAATAAGTATCTTGATTTTGATGATTATTGCAAACGTTATTCACCTCTTTCTTTGCCATGTGTACATTCGAAATGTCTGATTGTATGTTGGTTTGTGCTGGAGGGTATATTGTTATTATATGCTGTTATTCTATATACATTTGTGAATGTCACCGACTTGAGGGTTATCATCAAATTGCGGTTACTTGGCGGCAAAGGGTTGTGATATGTTTTTAAAAAGTTTCAACATAGTGAGATAATTTGGTGGTATTGTATAATAGACCAAACGCAAAAAAAATAAGGTACTGTGTTCGGATGTTTCTATTTTTCATCATTTTATATGGTAATATGTTCTATATTCTTACCGTAAGACTGTATCTACTGATAATAAGTTCCATTATAAATTGCCTCTAAAAACTTCTATGTTGACACTAAATAATGGGAGCCATCACATTTTGTGTTTGAGATTTGTTTCACAACACAACTCACTCATTACTTGCACATCTCTGTACGTAAAATGAGGTGAATAGGGATCGAGGGGTGAATAGAGACAGAAGAAAGGTGAATAAGATATTGAGAAATTCTTCATAGTATCGATTCGCCCTTCTTCTGTCCCTATTCACCTCTCGATCCCCATTCACCCCATTTTACCGTTACCTTGGTATCATGTCATTATATACATAAAATCGTATGTATTACCTAGACTACTACTATGTGTATGTATAATATTGACATAGTTAAATTAAACATAGTAAACATTTTAAATTAAACATCGTCATACTATTCATAACTAGAGAAAATTAATTAATTTATAATTTTTCTTACACAATCATTTTCAACCACATACATTGCCTGCACAAAATATCATAAAAGGTGAAAACATTAAGAAAAATCCACTACATAGTACACATTGAGGATACGAATGTCAATGATGATCTATAATTTTATTACTATGGCGATATATTGGTATTCTACTCGTCTTGTTTGAAGCGAAAATATATCTTAGTTACAAAATCTTAACATTCAAAATTACACATCATTGACTATTCCTCCTTACGCATCAACATTCAACCACATCGGTGACGGTTTACTCTCACTCAAACTTTCACAACAACTAAAAACAACCTCTATCGTCCTCAGAATAAGGTGCAGTCTCCAACGAACGCGGCTAACAACCCGTTCTTATCGTCTGCTCCTAGTCAGACACAGTCTATTGTGGACTTGTTCGGACCTGCTCCAGCTGATACAGCCAGTACTACTAGCAAAGCTTCCGATGATCTGCTGTCTCTTGGAAACCCGTTCGCTGATAACATGTTTGGAGGTAAGTAAGAGATAGATTAAGCTATCCACACACAATAAAGAAATATAAGCGTTTAAAAGAAAAAAAGGAATATGGTTGCCTTGTTAAGTATAAGTTAAAAAACTAGAAGATGTTTTAATATAGTATAATATAAAAAATACGAAAGAGATCTAAATTAAATAACAATAAAATGAATGATATTATCATTTGAGAATCAATGAATGATATTATTTAATGATATGATCATTTGTTATTTGAATAGTAATATGTTTCAAAGATAGTCGTATAAAGTAATGTACTTACAATTAAATTTGTAAAAAAAGTATATATTAGTAAGAATCTTTAGTTAAATTCAAACCTAATTTAGTAACAAAATATCTATAGAAAACACTTAACTTACTAAATAGCTCACAATACTAAAACTATTGTAATTGACAATTAATACTGTACATTAATTAATTAATTTTCTTTCTAATTCATCATTATTTTAGTCGGACATTTTGAGGAGGAATTAGGCTACATGAAATATTTTCAAGCAAATATAATATTCAGGTTTAATGAAACGTTTTTGATAGATGAAGAAAAAATCTTAGTAAAATATATTCACGATTGTAAATAATCTGGAGCTTGTAGATAGGAAAATTGGGTAAGCACTACACATAATTAGACCCCTAGACCCTTCACACTGTATTATAAAAGCACATCCCTTAGCTTAACGGGGATGGTTGGAGCACTATACACTCTATTCACATACACCTAAAGTTGAAAGTGGTAAGTCGCCACAATAAACTGAATACCGATGCAGTACACAAACAAAAACTCGTAATAGCAGCCTATAAGACAGATTTCTACACTACAATTCATATGTATGGGAAATCAGGCCAAAATTACTAGCAACAAAATAGAAAAATCTACCATTTTTTGGTAGTTATGTAGAAAAAGTCTACCATTTTGGTAGTACTGCATTGTTATTAAGTGCGGCAACACTTTTAGCGGCGCCGGTGACGAGCACGCCGATGTGGCCCCAACAACAACAACAACAACAACAGCCGAGCAACGGCTTCGCGGCCTTCCCGCCTCAGCAACAGAACAACTCCTTTGTGTCCGAGGCTAACTTCTCTAACGTTTTCGATAACACTGATTCCGCAGGTGAGCTTCCACTAGTAGTCATTGTGCTGGGGCTACCGTGCTATTTGATTGTACTGATTTTATCCTATTTTGATAGAATCAATCGAATTATAAATAATATCAGTGACAGTGTTAAGAAAGTAAAACAAAACGCACGGCAGCCCAAACCTTGCTTTAAATAAAAATCTATTTCTGGTGATGGGAATACTTTGTAAATTCTATATTATGTATATCTTGTTAAAATGTCAAATATTTCTTGTGCAAGCTGCCGCGGCTAATCCGTTCATGGGTATGGGAGACCTCACCCAACCAATATCCGCGTCACCCGCCCGTCCCCCTCCTCCCACCATTCCCCCACAACCCAAATCAGCGTTCGACGACCTTGAAGACGTGATGCGCATGTCTTTGGGTGGATCCCCGGCTAAGTCTCAGCAGCCAATTACACAACAGCCTCAACCAATGGCGGCGCAGCCTTTCAGTGACGTCATGTCAATGCCGATGGCTCAACCAATGATGTTCGGCTCGCCCGCCCGACAGCCCATGATGCCGATGGGAGCGACCGGTTCGATATTCAAACATTTAAATGGACCGTTTTTCATTGTTGTTTTTTTAATAGCTTGCAGAGTTGCCAGTTAAACAGCGTCGTGTGTGCTTTTTATTAATTTTTAATTCACAGGTCTTTTATTAGTTTTTAGTTGTCCTTTGCACTGGTTGTGTCGCATTAATTTTGTAAATAAGCCAGTGTTTTAGTTTTTATTTTATTTGTGTCATTATTGTTTGTATTTAATTGTATTTGCTGCAACACGTTCATTGTCGTAATCCTTGATTGAAATCTGATGACAGCATGAAATGAATATCCATGATTTCTTCGTTTTAAACCAAACCAAATCATTTTCACTGCATTAATGCTATGCTGGAATCAAATGAAACACCGCATTGACAACCTAAATGTTCATATAGCTTACCTTTGTTTTAATCACGGCTGCAAATCGACGTTTATTTCTCAGTACATTGTTTTGTGCTAGCTCTCATTATATCGAAAATAGACTTCTTTCCAACTGACTAAGGTTCATTACAGGTCAGCAACCACAACAGCAACAGGGCAAGGTGTTGACTGGTGACTTGGACTCTTCACTCGCTCAGTTGGCCAACAACCTTACTATCAACAAGACAGCTACGGCACAAAAGTGAGTGGAAAACCTTCAAATGAAAATAAATACAAATATTTTTTATTCCTACACTCATTGTCATGTGCTAAAATAGTAGTTTAGTTAAGTTTCAGTCAAAAGTTTTTAATCAAATATGGAAGTAAGGGACTATCGTGTTTGCGCTCCCCAGATGGCAGCACTAATGAGATTGGTGTTGTATCACTGTCGAATATCTGATTCTGTAAATGTGCATAGATTGCTGAATTTAGTTTTGTCTGTCGTTGAGGCCAAATACTATATCTCTTACTTCACACAAGCCGCTTCACTTTCCAAGCTTGACACGACACAGTGCTCACGCAAAATACGCTCAAAATGCATATGTTAACACTGGACATTGGCTATACTACCCAAAAAACAAACGAAGTGCTAACTTGAAGCTTATTGACTGAAACTTATGCGTTAAATTCGAGTGAAGTAAAGTGAATATAGCTAGTTAAACGTCACGGTATCTCTTCGGATATACCGTGATATAAGCACCTGTTTGTATATTTTAATTCTGTTTTAAAATGTATATTAGCTAGGTTGCCTTTAATTCGAATTACATTAGTAAAAATGTTAATTTGTATGAAAGGTAACGTGTTCTGAAAACGTTACTGTCAAATTCGACGTAACTGTTTTCATGTAGTACGGTTAATCGCACTTAAGTAACAATACTTGGTACGCAAAAATAAACCTTATTTTTTTGAGGATAAAATCTAAACCCTTGTTATATCGTGCGATTGATCTTACGGCGCATGTAATCACACCATTCTGGTGTCGACTAGACCGATGCAGTGGAATTCGCCGAAGAACGCGTCGAAACCTGGACAGACGTGGACACCACAACCCATGCAAGCAACTACAGGCGCCGGGTACCGACCAATGGTAAGGCACACAGCTTGAACTCGTAGTAAACTCAGTTGGCAGAATTGTACACGACATATTCTCGCTTTTATAGAGTAAAATCTAGTAACACCCTGAAATTATCGAAAAACCCGGGGTGGCTAATTTTATTTGCACTTTTTATTTTTATTTTTTTACTGCTTATCTTTGTTGGCAAATTCTGCTAGATACACTCCCTCAAACAAGCGTAATAGAGTGCACGATTCTGACAATAAAACCTCCATGTACAAAATTAAAACTGACTAAAATGTCAAAAATGGCGCCAAGTGTTCTCATAATGGCAACACTGAAACTAAACGTCAACTAAAAAGACTAAAGCGTCGCATTCAATGTCAAAATCAGTTAGCAGCAGCAAGCAGCATTAGAGCAACTCCTGTGCAATTCTGTTGCTTTAAATGTCGCATCGTTATGCTAAAACCTTGTTTGCTTTTTAAGCTCGCTCTTTTATGTTCTTTCTTCCCGTAGCATGCCTTCCTTTTTGCGTTACAGGGCCCAGGCATGACACTCCCACCAATGCCCCATACTATGCCCCATGCATATCATCCCCCGCATTATATTATGGTAAGTTTGCTATTTATTTTTTGTTCCGTTTTTTTTTTGTTTTGCTTTAGCGTAGTACACGCGTAGTTTAGTTCTATTTTTAGTTGCGAGCGTTGTCGAGTTGATTTGAGGACACTGTTTTGCTTGTGTCAAGTGGAGATGTCAGCTGAGATGAAACACAATTTATTTTTATAGGATTTATTACTCCTTCTAGTGTTAAATTTTTTCTTCCAATTTCAGATCTTGGTTCATTGAGGACTGAAATGTATTTTTGAAGTTTATAATCAACAAAATTTAACCCTTTTAAATCATTGAACCAAGGTCAGGAAACAACTAAAAATTGTCATAGTCTCTTCAGTTTGAAAGACCCTGCATGTATGAATTTGTTTGTATGATTGTATGAAACGTTTGCATGAATAGTGTTCATGTCACCTCATACATTTTCTGATGAATGTTAAGTGTTGTCATTCAGTGTGATTAATTTTGAATGAATGCTCAACTGTTTTCTTCTAAACCTTGATAATTTGGCCAAATCTTTCTAGCTACGTATTTCAAAGTGGAGTTACCTTCTAGTGTCTTACTTAAGGTTCTTTGTAGAGGTAGTTATCTTAACAATAAGATTTCCAACCCACAGCAACAGCCAGGCATGGTAATGGGCATGCAAGGAGCGCCAATGATGCCGATGGGCATGGCTCAACCGATGCGACCCGCCGTGCCACCGCAGCCTACCACCAACCAATTCAGTTAAGCACCACCTTTATTATTTGAAGGTTTACGTTTATGTCAAAACCCGACTGCTCATTGCACTTCATATAAAACCACAGGACACGCTACATACATAGCGATCCTATAGAATAAGAAGATGCCAGTCTTATATAAACTTTAATAAATTCAATGTAATAGCAAAAAAGTATTCCTCTAATTAGTCAAATTTATCCAAGTATAGTTTTATTATTATTATAATAGGTTATTATTGGAATTGAAATTATGGTAGTTTTGTTTTTTTTTTGAGCTCAATTTATTTGAATTTATTTTAACGAAGAAATTTAATGAATGTTCTAGTTTTTAAGTCTTGTTACTCAAGCTAATATAATAATTATACAGTTTATTTGTTAATTAATTCTTTGAATTTCTTCCTGTGTTCTTCTTTAAGCTTAAAATGCTTGATTCATTCAAGTGATACGGTGTATAGCAGTCGGGTTATCTATGTCATGTCAGCTGACGTGTGATCGGTAGGTTCTACCTTATAAGTGCACCGTTTAGTTGCGGATTTTAAACGGAACTTACGCCCTTAACATACGTTCATTATGAGTTTAGGATTGCCAGTCGAAAAAACTAGTTGTTTTCAAAGTTACCTGTATTTAATAGTTTGTTGGGGAAAACGATTGAATGGAATTACAGATACTTGAAATTAAATAAAACTCTTCTTTATCGATTGCATACGTAATTCATTTTGAATTGATACAAAATTATTGCAATTTTTATGAATTATATTTTGTTGAAACCAATCGTTTATGATTATAACATTATGAATACTTAGTTTTGAGTAGAAACCGATATGATTATGTATATTAATTGATTATTTCGACGATTTCTTATGTTCTTTTTTTATTCAATAAACTTTGCGTTATTTGACTTATGAATCATGAAATGTCTTATGAAAAAGGTGCGCAAGATTTTTTATTTTCAAAATTATACACATCACATTCCATACTTGTACAAAGTGAAAAATAAAATAATTTATTATGAGGTACTCGTTAACTTAGCTTATTACCTACCTTTGGCATAGTCAGTATTTATGAATTGGAATTGAAGTGAGTTCTAGTTTCTTTTTGTAATATTTTTTCCAGTGTTGGGCTGAAAGCGTAATGTTTACTTTCAGCATCGGATGCATAAATAAAGTTAATGAAATCATATAGTTATACTGGGTAGACGTCACATAGACACCCTTAATAATATTATTCTGTAACTTGATCCGTATATTATGTGTATAAAAATAAATAATTGCATATTTAGTCATATATTAAGCCTACGTGGTTTGAACGGGATGTAATTTTTACTCCAACCTCCATTGTTTGGGTAAAAATACGATTCAAAGTTCAATAATACATATTTCCATATCCTCCAGTTATGTAAAAACTGTATTTGTCATATAGAATATTATGTATAGAGGGTTATGCATTAGATTGTTATAACATTAGATGTTACGGGTGTATATTATAAATGTATGGCTGTTGTGAATATATGAACTAGGTGCTTGCTATATTAGGCCCCATTGCACGATCCATTAGTAATGCAAAATTTTCACAATGATGAAAAAAATCGAAAGGTCTAAAGGTCATGTTAATGGGACCCAAAATTCGCCACGGACAATCGTTTAACGCTCTAAATCGAAGCTCGTTTTGGTGCGCTAAAAATTGGAATTTCATAGTTACGCAAAATTATGGACTTAACAAATTGGATATTGCCAAATATATTGGAATGTAAGTCTACGCCCTATCTTTATATAGTCTTAACAGTTACTAGCAATACTTTGTACAAATGTATTAATTAAAGAAAAGAAAAACCGTTCGCTTCTTGTGATATTTCATTTCTAAAGACTGCAATCCAATATTTCGAAGTATTAAACTATGCTTTATATTTATGAATGTTTTCTTAAATCCATCGTTTGGACAAAGTATTGTATAAACGTTGCCATCGTTAACTCGTTCATAATAAAAAAAAAATACAAAATTGTACGGAACACCCGTGGTTTTCGTATGGCAACATTGTCAATGTTGCTGCACTATAATCAGTGTTACTTATAAAATAATATATATTCACAGGTACATGTAGATGTATAAACATGATAATTATGTATTTAGAATAAACGCAAAAAATAATGTTTGAATAGCTCAGCCGTGTGATTCAATGGTGTATGTAAATATAGGTGTTGCATAGTACACAGTGCTAATTAAACCCCTTACTTCAGCTAGTTTTCCAAAAGGCCAGTGACCGTCTATATTTTGTTATTGCTTGTTTGATGTTCAGTTGTACTGCTAAAGTCAGGTGGTACAGCACTTATTGTAAGAATGTCTTCATCCTAGTTTCCTTGCACCTGGTTTTAGTAGTATTTCACAGTCCGGGCTGGCTTTCTATACATGTTTTAGTGAGCAATGATAATGCTAAATGTTAGGCTAATTTGATTATCCAAATTAATGATATATGATATCATTTGCAATATGTTTGAGATCTGTGAATTATTTCATCGCTTGAAATGATTGATAATATTTTGTGCAATATTTTTCTTTTAAAATTTTATACATGGCAACTCTGATGTTGGTATAGTCTGTTATTCATTAATGTGTACTTCAATTTTTAGAAAAAATCTGCAGTTTGCTTAAGCACATTAACAGCAGAATGTTCATATAATTTACAAGTATTATGATTTGAATATATTGACAAAGAAAGTCCAGTGGTTTGTAGAGGTGTTCAGTTGGCCATACTTTACTTCTTAAATGGATGCTGTGATGTCAGGTGGATTCGACTGACTTATTTGTGGGATTCGCTCTTAGTTAACACTATAAGTTTCTTTTTATAAGAGAATACTAGTTAAACCACATTTTTGAATTAGTTTTAGTACTCATAGCGGCCTTTAAAATTTTTAAGTTGTAAATTTTATTCATTTATTTTTATCAATGTACCTACTGAGTTACGTTTTTATGTAAATACCCCCTTCTATGTTATTTACTAGCTCTGTCTTTAGATATTCAATTTAGTTTATTTATGAAAAGTAATAAATAAATCAATTAATATTATGTTTTTTGTTTTTTATTTTGTTTACTCCTTTATTTTTTTTAACCCAAGGGTCCAGATTGAGCCTATCCAAAATAATGGAGATATAAGTTCAAAAAGTCGAAGAATTTTCTTTATAATAGAATAGATCGGTTATCAATAGATGGAAGAATATATTTGTCTATGTACTAGAATATTGCGTGTCTATTTACCTCTTACTCCTATGACAATACAATAAAATATGTAATGGCCTGTATGTGTTTAAGAGTGGGTCTGTCCTAGAGAGATATGCTTGAAGCTTTGTCACTGTCCGCAGTACTACACGCGCATTTCTAGGACAGTCCAGTATTATGGTGAACCTAGTCGTATATTCAAGATCACAGTATTAAAGTAGCACTTCATAGGTGTCTATCGGAAGTTATGTACGTTATAGCTGTTAAAAACAATTAGCTCGGTAATCTACAATCACTTTTTAATTACTAAATACAAATTCTAACTTTTATCACTCTCGCAATAAGTGCAAAAAATCAATGAAAAAAAGTAAATTAAAACCATGATTCAATAGTTTTGATGAATGTATACGAATGTATTTAGTAATTACAAAAGTGATGTATCGGAAAATATATTTTTGTTAGGAGTGAAGTGTTCTTTCTCGTACGAACAATAATTTATTGTAACTTCTAAAGCTTTTGAAAGTTGTGTACTTATCTTGTTGAATCTCAAATAGTGGGGCGATTGATCTATCTATAAACACAATAAATTAATAAAAGTTATCCACGGCTGTTTCATTTATCCCTTTTCTTAGTAAAAACCACCCCGTTCCTACTCATGCACTTTGAGCCGGAGCCCCGGTAACCCGTTAGGTACTCCGCGGCTCCGGACGTGGAGGTCTAAGGGCAGACCTTTGTTCAACAGCAGACGTCTTCTGGCTGATAATGATGATGGAAAATAAGAGTAAAAGGATACAGTCAAGTTTGTAATGAAGACCAGACAAGTTCTCGAGTAAATTAAAGTATGGAATGTCTTGAATTGAAATATCTTTATAGCAACTTGTTAGTGAATGTGACATAGCCTGACTCCGGGTTCGAACCCCAGGTCAGAATTTTAATTCTCAGAAATATGTAGCAAATTAGATATTAAGCTGTGGACATATCAAAAGGAAATAATAAAAATCGATTCCTGGATCAGCCAAGAGAAGCAGCATACGGATCTGGGTACTTACTCTTGAAACCAATGTCAATGCAATTGCAATTCAATGAAAACTCAATAATTATTCAATGTCAAAACTAAACAACCCCTATCGTAGCTGTTAAAATAGCATTCAGAGTAGGTACGGAATATGAAGTCAATACCATTTAGTTCATTAAATATCCGCGCAATACGGATGCAATGGGCGCTAATGTTGCAACTCAAGAGTACAAAATTTCACAATACTAATGTCGATCGATCGGAAATGGATTCAAGAGTAAGCCCCTTGGAACTAAGCCTTGATTTATATTTATAGTAACAAGTTTGAATAGGAGAGTACCTACCGTATGGAAAGAGAGTCGCAAATAAATAAAAAAGGATCAGTTGCCTCTTACCTACCTATAGTGATGGGCCTTTTTTTACAAACAGGTGCTAGACAAAATAGTTAGCTATCTATTTACTAAAGAGAAAAGATAATTTGAGATATTTCTTTTTATATAGCTTTCTGTTCGAGGTTATATCAATGTAGCAATAAACTTACTCCCTATCGAAGTAGTGTTACTCTAGTACTCTTACCTTCGAAGATTTAAAAAAGTGACGTTATATTAGGTATGTGAATAAGAAATGACTGTGAATGCAGTTATAAATTATTTTAAACAAAGAGATAAAATCGTATTAGGAGCTCTGCTCAGATTCAGAGTGTTATGGAGAAAATGTTGCCGGGAAAAAAGATTTTATGTTTGAATTAATGAAATCGTTAATATAAAATATAAATCCACTTGGTTACTATTATAATGAAAGTTTGTTTGGGTACTCCAAGAAAACTTAAAAAAAACCAATAAGAACTCAAAAGTCAAAATTGAACGCACTGTTTTGTGCACTGTGTGAACGCAGCCAAACTATTTCACTTTTTAGTGCAAGCAACACAAAATCAATCGATGACAGCGACGGATTTTCCCTTGGAAGTCGCTGACGACATTTTGTCAATAAATTGTAAAATTCAATAGGATTTTGTAAAGTTTTGGTAGTGTATAGTGTTAAATAAGCCACTAAGATGGCAGATAATGAACAGAAAGCTATACAATTAATGGCCGAGGCGGAGAAGAAGCTGAGTTCTTCAAAAACTTTCTTTGGATCACTTTTCGGGTGAGGACAATGAGTTTTCTAATTATATTGTTGATATTGGCACAATTACGATTCATTACAGCCTTATATAGGCCTGCATTAGTCATTAATGTTTAATTAACGCATTAAAAATTTGTTATAATGTAACATTTTAGCAATAATCTAATTTCATTGTTGTACACTCTGAGTGTCTACCTTTTATAATGAAAGTATAATGTTGACGTGAATTATATTCGCAATTTTGCACGGTAATATTATTGTTTAAAGTATTTACAATGTAATAAGTATGGACTAAGTCCTTTGAAATGTGTATACTTAATTAATCTGTTTGAACATGATAAAATATGATAAACTTACCATGATTCACTATCATAATATGAGATTGCTTTTAGAAAAATTCACATATAATCTTAAAGTTATGAACTGCATCCTTTAGTGCTTACTTATCAAGTATTTGTTCCATGTGTAACATGAATAAATACAATGAAACTATAATGAATGCAAAATTCTCAAGATTATAATGCCATGACAATGAAATCAGCTGATGTGGACTAACTGTAAATGTATTAAACAAGTTTAAACCTTATTACTTTTCATTTGTGCTGTGATAAAATAGAAAGTTAATAGAAACAGTAGATTCCAAGACCTACTCACTTCATATCATATTTAATTTATTTATATTAAAAATAGAAATCAGTTTCAAAGTCACATCACAAAAAATATGATAATATAAAATTACTTTAAGTTACAAAAAACCAATCATTACTTAACTATTGATCAACAATTCAACTGAACTCTGGATCTCACACTTGCAACCATTGGGATCATTACACCTATTGGTTTTCAATATTGTTTATCCAATATTAGATAGTATCTTATCATTATTTAACATTCTATCTACGACTATGACTAAGTTTTTGCATATATTTGTGTTTTGTAAAGTTATGTACTAGGAACTGGTGACTTATGCATGATGTCATATTATCTTATTGCATATAATGAGTTCAGTTTCATTATTTAACAAACAGGCAGTTAAATAAGTTCTGTCTGTAATACAGACTCTTATCACAATCAGTTTTGCCGTTTGACTTGACTGTAAATTTGTCATCCTGCACAATCCGAGAATTTCTGTAGTTTATCAAAATTTCAATAATAGCATTATTCCCAATTGAAATATAAAACTTTGCTTGATATTAAGTTTTTGCTAGAAAAAAACCTATAAAGGCAATATGAGGCAATACATTAATTGCAGTTTTATAGTAGAATGTATAGAATAAAGTTTTACTAGTAGCACAGAGTCTGGAAATATGCCTGGTATATGGCAATAGGCTCACCCCCTATTACATGGGACTCATAACATAAAAGTAGTGAAAAGTGGGCGTTACTTCTGTGTGCACCTCTGCCTACCCCTTCGGGGTAAAAAGCGTGATGTTATGTTATGTATGTGTGTATAAAATAAATATTAAATAAATTAATACATATTCCATTCAATATAATTTTGGCCCCAAAATAAATTATGTAATATGTATATTGTGTATTTATGCTAAAAAACAAACCTTGAAACTGAATTCAATAAGTATGTGTTTACACTTTGTTACTTAGTACATTATGTGCTAACTGTATTAATTTATGTCTGTTCCATGGAATCTTACGAAATGTTGTTTCTCAGATATGAAGTTTTGTCCCAATAGTAGTAGATTTTTTTTTAAACTGTCAAACACCAATCGGTCACCGGTGACCGTAACCTATTGTTCTATAATTGTGTCTATAATGACGGTGCTCGACGAGTTAATTGATTATAATTAATATCATATTTTAACCCTTTGAGTAACGGTACTCAAAGGGTTAAAATATGATAATGACGGCATTATAGACACAATTAGAACAATAGGTTGCGGTCACCGGTGTCCTCGCGGTGTTTGACAGTTTAAATATAGTAGTCATGAACAAGTTGTCATTGATATCTATATCATCAAGACCAGCTGTTTTACCTACATTGAACAAAATATCTTTATTCAATCAATGCTACTTTTGGTTTGATGGAAATTATAACTTTTGTTTATTTATGATGAGGTGGAAACTCTTCATGGAATCCCTGGAGGGACTAAATGTAACTGTCGAACTTTTACTGGCTAGAGCCAGCCCCTAGTCCAATATAACAACCAACCTTCTTCACAGTGGTTCATCGAAGGTCGAAGAGGCAGTGGACTGCTACCTTCGGGCGGCGAACCTGTTCAAAATGGCGAAGAAGTGGGCGCAGGCTGGGCAAGCGTTCTGCGCCGCTGCCAACCTCCACCTGAAGGCAGGCGTCCGTCACGACGCAGCCACCAACTATGTCGACGCCTCAAATTGTTACAAGAAGTGTGATCCTAATGGTAAGTTACATTTTTATAGTGCTTAGTTAATTTAGTAGCCGTAGCTTCTGGACGTATGGGCCGGCTCAACAAAAATGGAAGACAATTGGCGTGAAACAATGCAATCGTGGTTTCACGTGTGCGAGTGAGGATACCCAGTTTAATGTCAACCAACAAAAATATACCACCTACCTACATTTTTAGATTAGACGAAATTCATTAATTGCCGTTGAGGCTCGCCCACTCTGAACAATCACAAGAAAACTTTATTATAAACAATGTTTTACAGAAATTAACTTGAAAAGAAATATCTAAAAAAGCTTACAGTATTTTTTGGTTAAATACTATAAGAAAAAAAGGTGACAAAGTCGTTGGACCTGTCACTTACCAGACGACCTTTTCAAAGGAGAGAATATTGATTATGAAATCAGAAATTCTGTTTTTCAAACAAAGAAATCTGTACCAGACTGTTTTAGCCTTTTTTAAATACTATTCTAACTTTTTTAGTCATTAACCACACAACATCACCTTCAGGAAGTCAGTTCACCCAACCAAGACGTTTACATACCCACTAATAACCCAATGACATTGTAAAAAAACAGTTTTGTTAAGACTAGTGTTTGTAAGGGCCAATGAGTCAGTGATAAATTAACATTGTGTCGTATTTGTAAAAGTCTGTAATTTACATATTCGATGAATCGAGTTAAATATAAAATTGTTTCGAGTTTATCACACTGTTATCATAATGCAGTAGTTACAACAATGACTGTTGAACAGTTTATCTAGTTCCTAGAGTTTTATATTTTTATTCATCGGTCCTCCATGTATGACTATTACATTGAAATCGCTGAATTTTAGCAACAAATAATGAATAAACATGTTTTCCGTTAAGTCTACGTGCCGTTATAATTACGTCAATTTCAGTCATTATCATACATATGTGTTAATTGTAATTAACTAACATCACTCCAATGGTCGCTAATTTCGGTCCAAAGTAACTAATTCGGATCCAGATGGATAACCGATACTCCAATTAAAATTCACTATATTTGTTCATCGTATTGAGTTCAATAACCCTGAACGGGTATGATAATATAATATGCCTGTAGCTGTTAACCGCAACTTTGTCCGCGTAGGTCTAAGGGAAAATAAACCTATGTAATTCTGTAGCTAATGGTCTCCAGACACAAAACTGATACCTACCACATAAAAACTCCGTTGCGACGTAAAGAAAGGCAATCAAATTCTAAAATATAGAATTCTTAATCCATAAGAGGTGGACAAGCGCTGGTCTTCATCATAAGCCGGAATACTTATTGTTGAACAAATGTCTCCCAAGTAAGGGGAAGGCTATGCCATTAACACTAGCTCACATTTTTGTTATGCGAATTGGAGATCTAAGTTAGGCCTCTCGAGAACATAGTATGCTCCTATCAAGCTGTTGGTGGCTGGTTGCTGTATATTTTTTTTAAGGGGGGAAATCATCGAATGACTGCTCCCGCCTGGGCGAGGCGGGAGAGAGTGTCAGACTCTTACTGACTAAAAACGACCCCATTCCTTCTCCTGCACGTCGAGCCGGAGCCCCGGTTACCCGTTAGGTTCTCCGTTCTGTATAAGGATATATCCTGTTCTAGAACATGAAACACCAAGCTTGGAATATTTTTATCAGCCAGTTCGTACTCTCAGCCACTGTACCATAGAGGAGTTAATACTTTTTTATGTAGGTACGTTTTTAGGCCGTGTGTTAACTTTGTCACTTATCCGACAATTGTTACTTATGGCTTTTGGATGTCTGTTGTCTGGTCAGATGGGCGTAACGACTTAACGACCTGTGGTGTCGATAATGTGTTTTTTTATTTGCAAAAAATTTGGCAGCAATATTTTATTTAGATGTACCTACTAATTCTCAGGAGTTTGATTGACGTCGTGAAAATGGGAACGTTTTTGGTAATACGAGTAGATTAGCTTTATTTAACAAGAACTTCATCTTTAATTTTACGAGGGACTCTTAACAGTAATGAAAACTCAATGTGTAAAAATGCGCCGCTATCTACATACTACTTTCAAAAAATTTCGTATGATTTGGCTTTTTTTAAGGGGGAAAATCATCGAATGACTTCTCCCGCCTGGCTGAGGCGGAAGGGAGTGTCAGATTCTTACTGACTAAAAACCACACCGTTCCTGCTCTTGCTCTTCGAGCTGGAGCCCCGGCAATCCGTTAAGTCTTCCGCAGTTCCGTATCAGCACTGTTGGCCTCATCTGTTCGTGTGATTTAGCTAGATTCTTAATTGATTGAGATACTCAATAAATATTGTGAATAAGAGCCAGTGCAACCAGTTTTAACATCCATTACATTTTCAGCACTTCTTTAGCTTCCATGACATTGATGAAAACATAAAGTTATACCATATAAATAATTGCCTATATCGATACGGTATCATTAACATGTTGTTAACATACATATACGACATATACAGTAGACTGGCGGTCGCGTAGCGTGATAAGATATTGATCTCGTTTAAAGTAGCACGCTTTGTAGGCTCCACTGTATTTTATACAGTTTTTACACTGCATTTTGCTGTTGAAAGTGGTGTTATAACTCATAAGTAAATGAAAGCCTGTTGCTGCTAACGAATAACAAATAGGTACGAAAAATACGGTTTGATATGAACTCATAGCAACACAATTTATTTGAGTATAAGAATATGCGGTCACTAGATGGTGAATTGGCGCCCTAAATGCCTTATTGAGCTATAAACGCTTTAAATGTATCCCTAATATGTTTTCTTCGCAAGGAATAATTCCGAATAAAAGTCAGTTTGTTCAATGAAGTAGCAGACAGAACTAAACAAATGCAAGGAATGGGTCTTATCATGACAGACATCTATATCAAGTACCTACTTAGAATAACAAAAATAAAGTTTTACTAAAAAACACAAACCGCATAGCAAATAAACGATACCTAAACACAATAAATCAAATAAATCCCAAAGGATGAAACAAATATCTTATTCGAAGCGTCTTTACAAACGTAAAATTCTGTTCTGGCATTGGAAAGAAAGTGGTCGGTAAATATTATAAAAGATATTAGTTTACAAAATCAATACAAACGGAGTCTTCAGTCTAGACTGGAATTATAGACATTAGACATTATCTATGCGACTAGTACAGAATATTCTATGAATAACATGGTTCGTAATGTTGAGTGGAAATCGTTGTTTGTATTAGAGTAGGTAGATGTAATCGCGTTTTTCTGGTTGGGTAGATAGAAATAATTAACTAATTATATCTATTAATTTAATGTGTCCTAGTAATTAGTGGTACCTAAATTTATTTTGCTGTTTACGATCGTGGTTACAGTTAGTAAACGGCCACCTTAGCGTCTGTATAGGTTACCTGCAACACCAAAAGCAACGCGAAATTCACAGAATCAGGGCCTTTAGCCAAACGCCACTTTAGCGCTTGTCTACAGTGAGAGTAGAAATCAAAATGTATGGGGATGACACTGACAAGTTTACGTCAATTCCATATAATTTGGTTTTCTATTCTACATGTAGACAAGCGCTAAGTGGCATTTGGCTACAGCTCCTGGTTTCGTAACAGCATAATACTTTTTGAGCGTTTTATTCATGATCAAATTGTACGAAATTGGAAGACAAAATCATCATTGTTGCGTCCATGGGCGGCGCTGATCGCTTGCCAGGTGATCCATCTCCTCGTTTGCCTCCTATACCATAAAAAAATTGGCTTAGTAAGTTAGGAATTGTACCTACTTTGTTATGACTAGACAATTAAAATAATTAAAGGTTGAATAAATGCGGTATCGATGTTTATTTCAGCTAAGCGTAAAGTCTAGGTTATAATAAAAATAAGTTGTGCGTTTTGCAAAGTTAATTAATTTTAAACGAAATGGATCTCAAGGGTGTCGCATAAATGTCTGACACGCACAAAGTTACAACTACGTATTTAAGTTAATTTACAACAGTATCAAAGCAATTTTTTTTTAGAAACAAGAAAATCGTTGGCTGTGTTTTTAAAAATGATAAAAATGTCGATAATTATACTTTTCTTGATTTATAATTTTAGAACATCATGTCCAGCATTACGAAAAATAAGATTTTTTTTCAAACCTATAAATTATTTATGTGCCAACTTTATATAAGTAAATACATTTGTTCCGAACAGTTCGATTCGATAGAAATACCAGTATTGCAAAATAAAACCTTATTCTCGTAGTTTATATCAAACGGCTTACGTCCATTTAACCTATGTTATACCTACATATTATCCGGATACAGCCTATATATGTAGCTGTTCACAATGTAGAATTTGGACGGTTGCCAAACTGTCGTTTATTTGTCCATTTTGAACTCTTTTTCTCTGTCCCATAGCTCGAGGAATGAACCTAGGATTCTTACATTCTTTTTTTCTATTTTTTTGATCCTAGGATGATGTCTAGACTTCATAGACTTGTCGATATAATCAATACTGTTATCGACATTTTGAATTTATTGTGGTTACTAGGACTTCATGATATAGTATCCTGTTTGTCGCTTTTTATCTACGTGTCTGTGTAGAAAACGGACCCATATTTATCTCATTGACACCAGGAAAATAGGACGTCGTCAAACAGAAACTATATTTATCAATACCTACAGTTTTTTTGAGGCGAGTAAATCATGCAATGACTTCTTAGAGTAGACCCTAGATTGCTTATCTTCCTCTACTCATAAATATGTTCACACGAAAGTGTCAATCATATAATTCCTTGAAATTTTGTTAGTTTTTTTTTACCTTTAAGTACTTTATTTATTTGTTCGCGTATTATTCAGAAAGCAAAATAATTGTTAACTTACCCTAGTACCACAAAACCACATTAGTGATTTGATTATAAAACAGTTTCTAACGATATTTTTACTACCTACACATTTACATAGCTGTAGTAAACACGTTCATAAAGTAGTGTTTAGTATAATAACGTCTCTTGAAACACCGACAGTGGCACCTGACTACTATAGACTTACACGCAGAACTTACACACATTGACAGGAAAGACATCTGTCATTTGACTGCACGTGGTTGGACACGTTGGTGGGTTCAATTCCCGCACGTAAAGACTTTGTGTGATCCACAAATTGTTATTTCGGGTCTGGGTGTCATGTATATGTGAACTTGTATGTTTTTAAACGCCCCAATCCTAGTGTAAGGCAAAAAATAACAACATTTTCTTGAGTCTGGTAATGTGGTAACCCATTACACGCGCACACATAAATAACCCATTGACGGTTTGGTACTTCGATCATTTCTAACTGACATTACGTCCACCTTTTTCTCAACGTCCTTGTAATGTCCATATATCGCAATAGTATCGAAAATATCCCATGCTGTCTCAATTAACTAAAACGCGGGTTACTCACGTGAATATACTATACATATAAAGCTCTACTAGTTTCGAACCACAACATAGGGGTTTTTCCTCATGAGCAGCGTGAGTGGAACGCATGAAGTAGTAGAGCTTTTTTCAGTGTATTCACGTAAGTAACCTTCGATTTTTAGTTAATTTAGTATGTGTCACAATAGTTATTATAAAAACTATGCTATCTCATCAAAATATTTATATATCTTTTATCAAAGGAAAAGCAATGCTAGCAATATGGCGTTGTTTGGAACGTTGTTATTATTAAGTTAGGTAAACTCCCCCGTTATTGCGAAGTTAGAAAACTTAGAACATCTTCAGATAGTTCTTGTCACGCCATAATGTCGACTGTAGTTGCTTTGACAATAATTTCCTTTAGAAAATGAAATAAATTGTAAACTTTTATGTGAAGTATCAAGACTTTTCTTGCGTAAGATAGATAATGAAGTTAATATTTTGAATCACGCCCAGATTTCATTAATTATGTTATCTGGATTATGTAATAGGGTGCCGGCCTATTTCTATACGCCCAAGTTATTACTACTATAGAAAACTTTTGAATCTAAATTACTTAATTCTGCCTGATGCTTGCTATGGATGGAAGTACCAGTAGAACCAAGACCAGTAGAACTAATCATACAGTAAATTTTTCTGAAAACAACTATTGATATAAGTTAGCGGTACGATGATCCAGACTAACAGTGCCAAACCTAAATGCCTATTGCAGTAATAAAACTAGGCTTCGCAGGACATTTGCCAACTGGCATACTACTTTATTGGCATAACACAATTAAAATGAGTGCGAATATTGTTCAGTCAATAGTCCTTAGCTTTGGTTATTTTATAATTTCGAATAACTTATTATGTATCCGAAACCACAATCTGTATAACAATTTTACAGCTCTTTTGTCGATAAGGGTCAAGTTACCATTATGATTAGATGTATGATACCAAATAATGGAGGCGAGCCTAGGTTTATACCCAGACTGCCACTGTCCGGCTCAGAAATCCAAATAAGAATAATTTTGTACATAGGTCAGAACATAGCTTCTTCCAATAAAATCAAGGATATGTTCCTCAGTATTTTTCCTTACAGATTGTACTGCCAGTAACCTAGTAGGGGGTATATTCCCCCCTGGGTAGTGTTCCAATTCTTTCCTCGCAAATTGCTTTACATTTTCCTGTTATCCATTAACATGATTTATTTTCTAATAACCCAGTTTCCTTATAACTACAATTAAGGATTCGTTATTAAATGTTTCATATTTATAGGGTTTATTCATACTGGGTTTTCATTTGCATTTCTATCGAGTCATAATTCCATTTATGGGAATTCGCAAGCTCGCTCCGGATTATAAGTTTTCTACATTAATTCTGTTGAACACACGTCTGAAAAATACATGATTTGTTTCTATGTTGATCTCTATAACATAAAGCGTAAATACTATAGTGAAAATCCACTGATATTTTTGGCCAATACACCGCTATATATCCAAACATTACATCACTTGAGTCTTATCATTGCGATTGTTACTGATAACAGATGATCAACAATCAAGGCTAGGGATAACTAGGTGGTTATCTACTAATCTGTTTACTCGATACAACATACAACTACCAATTACATATTTTTAGCTAATTATAGATATTTTAGAAGTTCAATGTAGGTACAGTTACAGTACAACCTCAAAAAGTAATAATATTTCTTTTTAAGTTTTTATTATGGCTTTCGACACTGTCACCATGATTTGGAAGATTATAGATCTAAAATCCTTATATCTTAGTTGATAAGTATTAAATTGCAACTTTATAATGTGATAATAAACTAATAAATCGCAAAAGATTAAGATGTTTTCATGGCAGTAAATGGTTTACAAAATGGTGCTTCCCCAGGGAGCTATTTTGGGTCCTACACATATTTTTATCACAGTACTAAAGAACTATATTGTAGCCAAATTTTAACGATGAAATTATGCAATCTTTATAGGTTTAGGACAAGATGATAACTGATACTGGTAATCTGAGCTAGGACACCTATAGTTCTGAAACGCATATATAGGTTTATCGTTATACTTTAGATTCAATCAATCGATATACTAAGTTTCATTCTACGACTTCGGAGTATTGTATTAAACTATACTTAATGAATAAACTTTTGTTGCAGAGGCTGTCTCCTGTCTCCTGAAAGCGATTGAGATTTACACCGACATGGGAAGATTCACTGTAGCTGCTAAACAGCATCAGGTAAACATTTTCTTATTATTTCACCCAAGTTCTACGTCGTCGTTGCTATAAGATAGGTAATACTTATCACTTAAAAGTATTTCATTGATTCGGAAACGAAAGTTGTGGATTTCAATATTTCTACGAACACCATCTACATGCCTCTATTTTGTTTATATACATAACATAAGACTTTTTATCCCCGAAGGGGTAGGCAGAGGTATTGTGGCACTCAATACCAGTGTACAATTTAACACCCTCTTTTCACTATTTATGTTATGCGTCCCTTGTTATAGGGGGTGAGCCTATTGCCATATACCGGGCACAATTCCAAATTCCATGCTACTACGGACAAATTTTTAAAAACCCAGTAATACTATGCTCGATCCGGGAATCGAATCCGAGACTTGCCCGGCAGTCGCACTTGCAAGCACTCGGCCGATGAGGCAGTCTATTTGGTTCATGATCACTAATATCGGTTTCAGTAACAATGTTACTACGGTTTGCTTGTGACTGAAATCAAAGCATGTATAATGTTCTATGATTACCACAGTATGCAAAAATATGCGATCATCGTAATTATCTTCAAGCTACAATATTTGCCTAATTCATTGTGTTAGTCAGTTGTTGCCTTGGAACATGGAGGCTAGTTTCTGATGATGTACTGCCGCGTACGATGTGCACTGTTCCAACAGTCGCGTGATGTCACTCGACTTGGCCTTGCTATCTTTATGTAGTTTACAACATTAGTCTCGTTGTGAGTTCTAGATAATTAAAGACTGATGACTGGATGTCTAGACAGGCTGGTTTCTGTTTTTCGTCAAGTAGTGATTAAGGAAATAATTACCATAATATCATCATCACACCTTTTATCCCCGATGGGGTAGGTAGAGGTCCACATTACGGCACTTAATGCCACAACCCTCACTTTTCACTATTCATGTTAAGAGTCCCATGTAGTATGTGAGCCTATTGCCATATACCGCGCAAAATTTCAGACTCCTTGCTATGAATGAGATTTTTTTAAAACCCAAAGTTTGTTTTACCCGACCTGGATTTCGAACCCGAGACCCCTTTGGCTGGCAGTCGCACTTGCGACCACTCGGCTAAGGCAGTCAGTCAGTCAGTCGAGCAAGAAATAATTAGTGCTAATATAATGGATATCAAATCTACTTAAGTTCTTCTAACAAGATGCAAATGAACCCTCATTTTTACTAGACTTAAGCCCCAAATAATAGGCGCGTGCTTGTTATCGTAGTCGTAGAGTTCGTTTGAAAGAATTCAATAATTCTACTTCACGGTAATCAAATCGGAAACCATTCACCGGTCAGGAAAGTTACCCCAAATGCCCCAGAAATAAGATTAAACACTGGAACTCACCAACACGCTATATTTCCAGAACATAGCAGAGCTCTACGAGACGGAGTGCGTGGACCTGTCGCGCGCGATGCAGCACTACGAGCAGGCAGCCGACTACTTCCGCGGCGAGGAGTCCACCTCCTCCGCCAACAAGTGCATGCTCAAATTGGCGCAGTACGCCGCCCAGCTGGAGCACTATGACAAGGCCATTCAGATCTATGAACAGGTCAGTAGCTTAATAATGATGGTTTATTAAACATTTTGAGATGATTTTATTTAAACTTTCTTAAGACATATTTAATTAATTATTAAGTTTTCGGCTTACTCACGTAACTGTCTGATGAAGAACTCGACTAGTTTCAAGCCATGCTAGAGGCTTATATTCATGAGTCAGTGCGACAATGGCTGCGTCGCGTTTCGCAGAATGCTGCTCATGAATACGAGCCTCTAGCATGGCTCGAGTTGCTCATCAAACAGTTACATGAGTACGCCGAAAACATAATAACTGTGTGTATAAAAAAAAACAAATTAATTTGCAAGTCTCAATATTCATTAAAAGAATTTCGTTTGTTGATATATATCTTCAACGTTATGTGGAAGCTGTCCATGGATGACAGAGGGCATCTTGGGCAAGTTTCATCGTGATTATCATCATCGTCACAAGACGGTCACTGCTGAACACAGGCCACTCCTCATGGGGAAAGTTCAGGGGGGTCAAAATAACTTTTTTTTAACATTTTTTTACAAGCAGAACAACCATAATATTTAAATTCAAACAGTTTCTGATTTACCATTAAACTGTCAAACACCAAGCGGTCACCGGTGACCGCAACCTATTGTTCTATAATTGTGTCTATATTGACGGTACTCGACGAGTTAAGACCATTATTTCCGAAGTTCAATAAATTATTCCACTTCTCTCATTACAGATCGCCAAGTCCTCCCTAGACAACAGCCTCCTGAAGTACAGCGCGAAGGAGTACATGTTCCGCGCGGCACTCTGCCACCTCTGCGTCGACATACTCAACGCTCAGCATGCCGTCGAGAAGTACTGCGGACTCTACCCTGCCTTCGCTGACACTAGGGAGTGTAAACTGATTAAGGTTTGTTGTGATAATTCCTTTGTATATGTAAGAGTTGGTATGATCTCCACGCCTGTAAGTAGGAATCATCACACAGAGGTGTACTAATGGAGCAGCCTGTAAATGGGTATTGTTAGAATGTTATTTTCCAAATTGTATTCGTTTCCAGTAGCGTGTTTTGAATACCCCTACTTCTCAGTTGTGCAAAGTTTCTTATCATGTAAGATTAGCCTATTGTCAGATAAGAATTACAAAAACTACGAATAAGCCATCAATACAAATAATTGTGCTTGCACACTGCATAAGCTGTTCTTTTTGCATTTAATCACTGTGGTAATAGTCACAGTACCTAGCTGATAGAGTAAAATAAAACTTCTCTAAACTTGCAGGAATTGATCGAGCACTTGGAGGAGCAGAATGTGGATGCGTTCACCGAGGCAGTGAAGAATTACGACAGCATATCTCGACTGGATCAGTGGTATACAACGATGCTCGTGCGCATTAAGAAACAGATCAACGACAACCCCGACCTGCGTTGAGTCAGTCGCACGTCTATGCCCGCCGCACCCGTATGCGTAGCGTGAGTGGCAAGCCTTATTTCATTTATTACCATACACAAAAATACTACTATATTTTTTTCAATTGGCAACATTTTTAACATTTAGAATCAGAATCTTCCACTTTTTATTGACAGTTGATATAAACATGCGTTGTCTATAACCCGTTTAGTTACCTATATCATGTATTAAAGAATCGAATTCGTTTTTAGGGGAAATATCAATGTATGTCCAACTGTCAGTTCTAACAATATAATGTAAGTTAATTACAATTTTGTGTTTAAATTTCTTTAAAAATGATGCGAGAAGTACAATTGGCATGTCAAAATCAAAACGCGACATGAATATTTGAACAATACCCTTCCTTCAGTCGGGTAAAAAGACGTAATATAATGATCCAATCATGACAGCCGTCACTTTGACGTTGTCATGGTTTTGTCTATGGGTATCCACAGAGTATAAATGGATGATCGCAGCAATCGATGCTCAATGAATGCTTGCATAACGGTTAGAGGCGACGGGCGATATAATGTTTCCTTTTTTATCATAAACTCCGTAGAATATTTCATTATGCCTATTTCAATGTAACAAGTTAGGCAAACAAGTGTTCGTGTCACATTATTTAATAGAAAACTTAGTTTTTTTCGTAGAAATAAATTGATATAAATGTTGACTGATAGCGGTTAAAGGAGAGTAGATTACTTGGCGGTTATGCTAGTTTAGATCCCAGAAATTTGGATTTTGCATTGATATTAATGGCCAAACTACCCTCAACTCTTCTTAGTTTGACGTCAGTTGTCGTTAGACTTTCTTCGAGTGTAGACGTGTTTCGTGTTGCGGCTCTATGAAATTGAATCATGCTGTTGTGTTTGTTAGATACTATTCTATTATTGGTTGGTTTTTCCTATATTTTATTAATGTTCTAACGTTATTAATTTGCATTTACATTCCTAGATTTTGATTGTATGGTCCTTTTTCTTTTTTTTTGTTAAATAGTGTGACACAGCGCCATTATTTAGTATTCAAGATTTAGTCGATATACTTAGGATATAAGTCGGGAGTAAAATCATTATTGAAAATACATTTTTTTTCTAATCTGTACGTTTAAACCGTAACGTTCCAATTTACGCAGTACACCTTATTTGAGTATACTCTTTGTTTATATTTATTTTTCTTGTATTGTGAGGTTGGAGTGGTTTATTGTATATATTATTGGTTTAAATAATGTTAGAAGTATGTCCCTTTATAGTTTTTGTTTGATTGAGTGGTGTTGCCAGGTTAAAATATTCTTTTGAGGTTTTTGTGGACTTGCAATCTCCACTGAAGTCCACATTGTGAAAGCGGTACCTTTTTGCTTATAAGATTATCAGATGATATCTTAATTATTTCTTTTTTAGTCCAGTAAACCATTTTTTATTTCTATCCTTAAGGCAAATAGATGATAATGTTCTGCAGTTCTCATTCATCTTATTACTAAAGCAATAGAGGTCAGAATCGCACTTCTATGTACTACTATCTCAATATATCGCTCGAAACATGACTCGTACCACTCAGTACTTAAGGTATATTTTCGATTGGCACTACCACTCGTCAATTTAGTTTCCCATGAACATCATTATGTAATGGGGCCTATTCTCATTTAGATTTAATAAATAATATTTATAACATTTTATTTTGTTGTTGTAAATAATGACTTGTTTCGTTAATAAATTTTATATTTTTAATTTCATTTTTTATTTTATTTTTTACCCTTTTGTTTTGGTTTTTGAACTTTGATGTGGTTATGTTAGGTGTAAAGTGAGTCGTAATGGTATTGAGCCGACTTCTTATAAGGAGTTAGTCTTGTGTGTCCTGTTCTGGGACTCACGTAGTTCGTAGTGAATTTGAACATAGTGAAAGGTTTCGTGTTTTGCCGTGGCCTTCGAAATGTACAAGTCTAAAAAAATCACGTGCAAATGTGTTATGTTGTTTGATTAACTAGTAGGTTGAATCTCATCACCAGTAATTTATTTAAAACACTTTTTATCAACAACACTTATATTATAACACCATGAAGACTTAAAACTTCAGTGGCGCCATCTAGTAAAGGCAGAAATAAAAACTTCCATTATGGTCAAACTTTACGAAACATCCGAGAACAAAAGCGCCTAATATAATTATGTCAAAGTCATAATACTGCGCTCACACTAGGATTGACAGCAATAAATCAAAATTTTACGTACTTAAGGAAAATGACAAATTGAAGACTAAATTGTCGTGCGTATAAGTCTTCATAATGTCGCAAGTCACTGCCTTTTGTCCCAAAAAATCATAGTGTGACCAGTATCTTATAAACGGCTTCCGAATTTTTTAGCTAAGGTAACTTACGCACTTGCGTTTGGTCGCGAGTCTAGGTAAAATCGTACAGTAGTAAAAATCAGGTTTTAATTGATAGTAAGAAGTTCACTGAATAATGTCTAAAATTCGCCTTAATATTAGGCTTACATTTTTGGTAAATTATCTATAGAATATGCCACATCTTGTGAGACATATAAACAATATTAACTGGTTGAGTACCGTCATTATAGACACGATTATAGAACAATAGGTTGCGGTCACCGGTGACCGCTCGGTGTTTGACAGTTTAATTATTTAGTATTTTAAATTAATTCTAATTTACAGATAAGTACTATCAGCAAAGTTTAGGTAGTACATCTTTTAAACATATTCCTGTGGCGCACTACCTATCCACCGGGCACTTTTCTTGTAGCCACTCACGGCGAATACATGCGATTGTCCCCTAATGATGGTCGACCAGCAACTTTCGTTTGTACACACGGCCACACATCAATCTATACAAAACCAGTTTATCCTGGTGTCGCGTCGCAACATCTTACCGCACATTTAAGGTTCAGTTTATACTGGTTATGGAAAGCTCGAAGTGTAGCCGTGCGCACTTAATGATTCATGGTCTGTGGTATAAAAAAGTGTTGCGTGAATGAATATATTTATATTAAATCAACCTTTTATTTTATAGTAACCCACCTGAACGGATTTGAATAACTTTTGACACCAAATCCGTTAGTTTTGTAGTTAGTAAACCATTTGTCCGTTATTGTATTTGTTGACTTATAGTTTACATAAGCCGTTATTTTTATGAACGAAAGAATAACACATGATTAGAGATCCGCACTCGATTTGGTCTGTTTCTCGAAAAGAAATTGAATGAAAGATTTTTGGAAAATTCCCATTCGCTAGTAATTTATATTTACTTATTTTATTGTCTTTGATGTGGCATATTTTATTACAGTATAGAGTTAAAGTTTCGCAATTATCCGTAACCATAGCAACGCCAGTTATGTATCGCATTGTATGGCACACTGATATTCGTTTAATGTAAAAAAATAAAGTGTTAATACAAAAAAAACTACGTTTTTCATTGAAACAAACCCATCTGCAACTTCTTAAGCCAGGATCTACAGAAGAAACTAAAGCTGCGTCTACACTAGGAGAACCGAGCACGAGCCGAACACAATTCGTCTAGTGTAGACCGACTTACTAACCTAGAACGAGCGCGGCGAGCATTTCGTTCGCGTTCGGCCGCGTTCCACCTGTCCCACACTTGATGCCGCGAACAAAGCCAAGAACGGCCCGCTTGTGCTTCGCTTGTGATCAGTTCGTCTAGCGTAGACCCGCCATAAGAAAATGATTAAAAAAAAAACAAACTCCGTCCCAGAAGAAACAATCTTGAATCGTGCAATAAATCCAAAGATATCATTGGAGGAAAAAAGAAACACGAGATGAAGACAAATGAAACAAAACAAAAATTATGCAAATCCTAACGCTTAAAAAACTCTTTTTTATACTTAACTAGCGACCCGCCCCGGCTTCGCACGGGTGCAATATGTATATACATACAAACCTTCCTTAAGAATCACTCTATCTATTAAAAAAAACCGCATCAAAATCCGTTGCGTAGTTTTAAAGATCTAAGCATACATACGGACATACAGCGAAAGCGACTTTGTTTTATACTATGTATTGATGACGGAAAACCACCAAAAGGTTAATTCGGACCTCACTATAACACACAAATCTTTATCACTTAATATGAAGGTAGCAACAATTTCAGTATAAGCAGACCAGCTTTGGAGCAATTTTATATATAGCCTCCTAAATACCTATCATTGCAGTCGTACTTTTTCATAGCATTGGTTGGCAACCGAGCGGATTGATCACCTGATAGTAAATAATCGGTGTCTTTTGGAGATTTGGCGATTGGGGACAGGCGATGGGCCTCCGGTAACGTCACTCTCTGCGACTCACGCCGATTTTCTGTGAGGCCGCGATATCACACTAGTCGAGCTGGCCCATTCGTACGAAGCATGGCCCTCGCACGTGTATTCTTAAAAAACGAAGAAAAAAACTTATAATAAATGGAATCATGTCAGTAATCGTACTTTTACCACTAGAACAACGGACCAGTGTGATACATTATTTATTTATAACAACTGTTGCATACATTAACGTTTTAATTTTCATTTGTTTATGAACCAAATTTTACTAATGAATGCCTTCTTAATCCAGTAGATACCTACTATTTAGATTTTTTTCGATTTTGTAAAATTGTTCTGCCTCGTTGGCCGAGTGGTCGCAGTGGTCAGTGCGACTACTGAGCAAGGGGTCTCGGGTTCGGTTCCCAGGTCCGGTAAAATACTACTGGTTTAAAAAAAATCTCAGTAGTACGCACAGAGTTCGGAATTGTGTCCGATATATAGCAATAGGCTGACCCCCTATTACATGGGACTCGTAAATAGTGAAAGGTGAGTATTACATTAAACAGCGGCATTAAGTGCCGTAATGTGCACCTCAGCCTACGCCTTCGGGGATAAAGCTGCGCCCTAACAGGGTGATGTACTGTACTAGTAGTATAATACCGCTATGTATATACATTTTGCAATAAATAAATATATAAATAAATAAAAAGCGTCATGTTTATAAACTTAGCGAATATTGAAAATAAGTACTTGCGCCTTATAAGATCGAAAAGCGTACCATTGTTTATGTAAAATACAATAACATTGTATTTTTTAAATTTAAAAAGATATAACAATGGTTTTTTTTTTTATTATAATTCAAATGTGTTCGTTTAAATATATTTTTTATTTCCTTGAAGTTGTAGATAACGATCGCTCAATGAGGTAAATGCAGTTCAAATTATCATTACAATTGAGGTTATCTGTCATCTCAACTAAATAGGTACTTACAGACGCCAGGAAATAAAATCTACAATAGAATTTCCACCTTATTGCAGAGAGTTGAGGTTGAAAATGTATTAATTAATTTGTCCGATACAGGTACTTTGATGTGCTTGTGTCCACATTTTCTCTGTATTTTTGTCAACCAAAATTGAAAAGAATTTTAACAAGATTTTTTTTATATTTTTCTAGATGCCTGTTCTGTTTTTGTGGCGCTTAAAATTTAATATTAGATTACGTAATAAATTATATTAAATAATATTTTTATGATTACATTGTTCATTAACTCTTTATTTTGCAGTCATTTGACTAGCTGCAAAGGAAGGTATTTACTAAGCACCTATAGGTATTGTAAGAATATCGGCATAGAAATTAGAAGTACGTACTACGAAGTTATTCGACTAGTTTTCAGCTACAACAGAGGCCCATAATCAAGTTACTTCGTCGAAAAAAAACTAACCAACTAGTAGTTCCGGACCTCAGCACATTCAAAGAAACACCTTATAAGAGTATCGATTTATTGGCAAATATTAAATGTGTACATTATTCAAAGGCTTCCCGAGGTCATCTGTCTCTTTATCCGGGGACTTATGATAACCATACAGGTGGAGTTTCTCTAATTCGCTCTTCATCATTTTGTCCAGGACGGCGATGTCATGAGGGGAGGACGTGGAGACATCTACGACACGTTTTTCTCTTTTCTTCTTTCGTTTTTTGTCTTGTCTTGTTTTATCGACAAATTCTGTCGCTGGATCTTCGCTGCTTTCTTGCGATAATTCCACATTTTTTTTGCTTACGCTAACTGCAGGTCCAGATTCATCATTAATCAGGGAATGTTCCGGGACCACTCCGCTCTCTATTAGTTGCGTGTACAAGTCTTTGAACAGCTTCGACAGTTTGTTGCCCAGCTCCACTTTACCTGAGACCTTGACTGTGTAGGCTTCGGTTAGTGAAAGACCTGGAAAATTGAGTATTTGGGTATATTCTCCGAAGAAAAAACTATTGTTTTTATTTGTATTGTATTCCCGTAATATTTAGGCTGCTGATTTATTAATATCTTTTTGTGGGTCATAAAATGACTTAACTCCCACCATGACTGGGTGAGGCGGGAGGGAGTGTCAGAGCCTTACCTACCGACTAAAACCAGCCCGTACAAACTTGTTCTAAGGGTGGGCCTCGGTATCTCGGCGACTCCGGCCGGTGTTAGTGCTTGTTCACACGTTCTGGTTGTATTCTGATACCTCGTCGTGTTTTTAAGCACAGAATGTCGAGTTTTTTTTTCAGCTATTTTAGATATGTAGGCCTAATGCCTCATAGTAAAATAAATCAAAATAAAGTTTAGTGGAAACCAAGACAATGCGTAGATAAATACGCCGCGCAACGTGTCGCGGGTTCGATTCCCGCACGGAAGAATTATTTGTGTGATCCACAGATTGTTATTCCGGGTCTAGGTGTCATGTGTACGTGAACTTATATGTTTGTAAATGCACCCACGACACAGGAGAAAATCCTAGTGTGGGGCAACGTTTAAAAAAAAATAAATAAATAAATAAATACCTATTTACTTTGTTTCAATTCTAATTGATCTGTTATACAACTTTATTACATTACAATATTTTAAAAACATATAAATTAATCTTACCATACAATAAGATGCAAATACGAAACATTTTCCTCTACTAAACTTACATAATGAAGAATTATTAACCAAATAACTACTATTATTTATCTTAATTACTTCCTTCAAATTAACAAAAAGTAGTAAAAAGTTTATTACAAAATGTACACGCGATGATTGGGTGATAAAATGGCAATATAGTAGGCAAAGGTTCAGTTTTAACCACTTCAGCAGTGTTGTTGAGCACTTTCAACATTACACATTATTTAAGCCCGATTACTTGTTGCGTACTTGCATTCTATTGCTGGGTTAACAGTCATCGAGACAGCTGTCTTTTTTCTGAGGGATGAAAATCATCCAATGACTTCTCACACCGCGCCGTGGGTGAGAAGTTAGGGAGTCTTTAATAAAAATCACTCTCTTTCTAGTACCTCCTTCGAACCGGAGCCTCGGTAACCCGTTAAGATGTCCACTGTTCCAATTTGGGCATTAGCCCTACTGGGTCACTCTGCGGTGGTCTGTTGTCTCTTTGGGCCTCCCCAAGTCGGTATCAGTAATAGAGTCGTACTATGACTAATGTACTACAATAGATTATATCTGTAGTACCTACACGTTTTCCGTGGTATATGTTACCTTATCACATGGGTGAATTTGACAGATTTATTACTCCAGTATTATCGCAGTTTTAAACTTCACAGTACTACGAATAACTGTCTTGTAGCCATTATTTTATAGTATTACTAATATATAAGTGTGGGAGAGCCATGCTTCGGCACGAATGGGCCGGTTCAACCGGAGTGATACCACGGCCTCACAGAAGACCGACGTGAAACAACGCTTGCATTGTGTGTGTGAGTGAAGTTACCGGAAGCGCAATAACCCCTCCCCCTTTGTCCCAATCCCTAAATCCTCAGCAATCCTCAAATTGCTAATCCCAAAAGGCCGCCGCACTTGTAACGCCTCTGGTGTTCCAGGTGTCTATGGGCAACGCCGATTGCTTACCATCAGGTGATACGCCTGCTCGTTTACTGGTTTATCTCATAAAAAAAATCCCATGAAAAAATAAGCCCTTATCGCAGCTTGAAACTAATCGAGCACACTCCTCGATGAGTTGTGTGATTTCATGGTTTTTATTTCACTCGAATCGAATTCATGAACTTGATCCTCATACTAGACTAGAACAACACAATGAACGAAACACGCTAGACTAATTACTTTACTAATTATATGTAATTGTTAGTAATTAATTAATTACTTCTCCTGCCATTTCTACATAGATCAGCGTTTCCCAAATGGCCGTATATTTTTACTGAGTTATTACAGAATATCTACCGCGTCATCATCATCATCATCCTCATCATCGACACCCTAATAGGTCATTGGTTGGACACCGGAATAGGGCCAAAGACATCCCATTGTTAAGGTATAGCCTCTACATAAGGTACCTTTTTTGATGACGGGGGAAACCTTCAAAAGAAGCCTATCTTTTTGGGGATAAAAGATTAGAGAGTGTCCAAGAGTGTTTTATTTCACTAAAACCACTCCGGTGGCCACCCTCAACACCTGTATGGAGGTCTTCTAAGAGACTACATAAGGTACCTTTTTTTTTGAGGGGGGAAAATCATCCTATGACTTCTCTCGCCTGGGTGAGGCGGGAGGGAGTGTCAGACTCTTACTGACTAAAAACCACCCCGTTCCTACTCCTGCACTTCGAGCCGGAGCCCCGGCAACCCGTTAAGTCTTCCGGGGCTCCGTATCGTCATCGCCCCTGTTGGGCCCCATCTGTGGTATACATAAGGTATCTACGAGGCTTTGTCACAATCCTTATGCTTGTCAGATAAAGATACTTTTCTTTTGCATATATGGATCACAATTACAGGTGACTTAAAAATAGTTATAATACAACAATAGGTATTTTAGCATTTAAACTGTGAAACACCAAGCGGTCACCGGTGACCGCAACCTATTGTTCTATAATTGTGTCTGCAAAACCGGTACTCGACGAGTTAAGCATGCAAATGATATACATAGTAAAATGCATTGGATAATATTTTACAAGATAGATTATTGCAAATTACAATTTAAGTGGTTCAGGTTCATTTTGTCCTGCTTTTTAAAAGTATCTATTCCTTATTATCTTTCTATCATTAAGTAAGGTCATAAATATCTCAATTAATCGAAGAAGCAACGCAATACCCGTGCTACGACCAAGGAAAGTTTCGTTAACCCAATTTGACTCGTGAATGCCCCAAATCACGTTTCCCTGCGTATAAATTCGTATAAATTGGTAGAAATTGTCTACACATTCTCAACTTTATAGCTATAACAGTAAAGTAGAAAATGTATTGTGTAGATTAGTGAAGGTTGATGTGCTGTTGTGTATATTTGCAGGCTAGTTGGTCACGTGCATAGCAGGCGTGTGAGGTCAGAATGTCGCCTGTGTTTGAATATGTAGTGCTGGTTGAATAGAGGTGGTAGTACATGCTTGAACAATAGTTTTGATAACATGTAATAACGTTCAGTTAATCACGTCTGCTGAAAAATGCTTTGATGCATATTGATAAGTGTTTGACCGCTATCTCGCCTGATGGTAAGCGATGCGGCCTACGATGGAGCACGACTGCCCATAAGCAACACATTCACTTGAAACTTGAAGACACCTACGTTGTACGCTTCAGAAAAAATAAACTATGGCTCTAATACATAACATAACATCACGCCTTTTTATCCCCGAAGGGGTAGGCAGAGGAGCTCAATAAATGCCACTGTACAATGTAACTATTGTACAGTGGCATTTAGTATTCACTACACCCACTATTCACTATTTATGTTATGACTCTATAACATGGGGGTGAGCCTATTGCCATAGGCTCCATGGATTTGTGCCCAGTGCCACGGAGCATAAATCCATGGAGGAATAGTTTTAAAAATGGAATGTTAGATATAGTAGGTATGTACTAATATAAGTAATGTGCAAAGCAATGTGTTATTTCATGAAGTAGAAGAAAGAATTGTAGAATGTTAAAGTGCTCGTAAATTCTACTCTTTGTGTTATTAATATCATCTCATCCCATCAAATAGTTGACGGTTTTAATAAACTCTCATTGACTTTCATAATAATCCAAACACCGGGCACGAACATCATTGAAGAAAGTTTTATATGTGGCAATATCATTTGATGTGACAATAACATCAAAGTCAAAGTCAAAATCATTTATTTCAATTAGACCAGAAAGGCACCTGTGGACGTCAACAAAATGTGATCTGTATTTATGGTGTAGATTCCTACTATATGTAGAGGTAGATTCCTATGGAGAAGAACGAGCAAGAAACTCCATAGGTTACTCTTTTTCAATCAGGTTCACAATACAATTCTCTAGTTACATAGTTTTGTTGTTTGGATTGTGCGAGAACAATGTAATACTAAAATCCAGTCAAGGAGATCAAAAGGGAAATATCCACAGGACAATATAATACAGTCTGGAGCTGATCAGTTCCAGCATGACACGTACTACGTATTGTAGGGAATCGAGCGATCCACTGCACGCGCCACCGCCAATGAGACCTTTGAGTGAGCATGACAACTCCAAGCTGACACAAATGCATTCTACTAGTCTAATTTAATATTAAGTTAATTACAGGGCTCTCACATTTACAATGGTTATCTAAGTTAAACAATATACAATTTAGCATGTCTGTTCAGGCGTCGAGTCTTGAACAATGAGATCGATAGGCGCAGTCTTTATTTCTCAATCAATGATAAAAAATATCCTAATGATAACAAATTAGCTTAGGACCTAGTAGGTACTAGATATACTTTTTACAGACCTAGGACTCCTAGGTCGATAAATGGTGTGTTTTAGTTGTTGTACGTTTTCATTTCAAAAGTGTCTTTCTACTGGTCTATCCTTACTAATACTATAATCGGAAAGTGAGTTTGTTTGTTTGTTACGCTGTCACGCCGTAACTACTTAACCGATTACTTTGAATTTTTGCAGACGTAAAGTTAGAAGTCCGGATTAAATAATAGGGTACTTTTTATTCCGGAAAAAATGATATTTCAGAGGAAAAACAAAAGTATTAGTATAGATGGCGCTGTGTGTATTGGTATATGTCACATAGGCTACTTTTTATACTTTTGTGACGCGAGCGAAGCCGCGAATAAAATCTAGTATGAAATAAATATGCCCTTGACTTTGAGGTCTATATACGGATAATAATGACATGACGCCTGTACTTAGACTTGATGAGTTTATGACTATTAAAATTATACAACGATATAAATTATTTCTTATAAGTAACGAGACAGATATTACACGCGTCTTAACACTTCAGTTCCGACTTGATTCCAATTAATTTCCTTATTAATTGAAAATTATAATTTTCACAATTTATATTGAGTCCCGTGTAATAAAGGGTGTGTCTATTGCCATATACCGGGCACAATCACAAAGATTTTTTTTAAATTTAGTAACATTTTGCTCGACCCGGGAATCGAACCCGAGATCCCGTGCTTGGCAGTCGCACTCGCGACCACTCGGCTAACGAGGCGAGTCTGAAGGCTTCCTCATTCAAAATTATTCTATCTACACGTGAAAATGGCAAAAACACTCGTTAATTAGTTTTGGGTTTTTCGCGAACGTACAACCATACTCACGTATTGATTTAATTTAAATTTCGAAGTAACCTAGGTACTCATAAATGTATCATGAAGCATTGGAATATGAGTCATGCCCAATTTCAAATTTTTTATTATATTTTTAAGCAAAAAGTGTCGTCTACATGGATTTTAATAAAGCACCCCATGAGCTATTTACATCAAAACAAAAAAGATCAATATAATGTATGCAAACAATAATCGAAGGTAGCAAATAAACATGACATTAATATTTTGTGCTTTGAACAAAATCTATTTCGAATGGGTGTGCCGCAAGGTTCTATTTTGGGGCCTACCGTGTTTAGAATTAGTAATAAACTTTATATTTATCAAATAATTTGTTTAATAAAAAAGCAATAACATAGTTCATAGATAGTTAGGTGTTTATGTACTTGTTATTGACAGACATTACATCGGCGACTGCCACATGGTTAAAGGTCAAGAAGACAAGTGATTATATTTGATTTATTAACATTTTATAATTTATATATTATACAATAACCAAGTGGAAAGCAGTTATTATTTAACCATCTGTTGAAAAAGGACTCTTCAAGTATCTAAACAGATTTCTATTTGCAGACTTACAGAATTAACGAAGATCTAGCTAGGGTATTCCGTAACTTTCAATTCGAAGTGAACTCGATTGCGGTCCGCCATGGTTGTGATAATAATCTCAACTGGCAGAATATTAATTTTAAGTGTGGGAGAGCTATGCTTCGGCACGAATGCGCCGGCTCGACCGGAGTGATACCACGGTCTCACAGAAAACCGATGTGAAGAAACGCTTGCGTAGTGTTTCGTCGTTGAATGAAGTAACCGGAGGCCCAATTAGCACTCTCCCCAGTCTCCTCAATCCCCGAATCCACAATCCCCAAAAGGCCGGTAACGCCTCTGGTGTTTCAGGTGTCTATTGGTGGCGTCGATTGCTTACCATCAGATGATACGTCTGCTCGTTTACTGGCTTAACCCAAAAAAACCATAGCTGACCGACGACGAACAACGGGCGAGAATGCGATAAACCTCACTTTGAAAGTTCGAATTGCAAGTCACAGGCCTAGCTGCTATTAAAAATTGTATTCTAACTACTCACGAGAATTGAGAAATACGAAACAAAACGTACCACAACGTGACGTTTCAGCTGCAACAAGGATGTTTCATTCGCGCATAGTGTGTTTTGAACTGGAAAAATTGGGACCATCTCGTTTAACTTAATCAAATTCGGTTTATTCGTTTCTAAGCTGTACCATAAGGCACAGTGACTGACCATAATGCATCTACAGTTATGTTAAGAGTTCTGTGTAATGGTTATCAAGACATACAATGAAATTTTAAAAATGAAAATAACACGTAACTACCCCATCTTTAGAATCAAATCTGAAGCACCAGGCTCAAGAATCGAGTATACAACTACTCGGACACACGAAGCAGCAATTATATTATTATAACAAGAAATAAAAGTTATAAAGTACAATTACGTCCGCATTTATAGATGTTAATGAGAGGTCTTAAGTCATACGGTTGTTTGAGCTGACATAAAACGTTGTGGGAGCTGACGTTAACGCTTTATTACTTAGTTTATCCTGCAGTGACAAAACATGCCGTCATCAACTAATAACAGCTATGGCTTTGAAGATATCGAGTGGGATGAAGGTAGGTGGTGCCATTATTATTGCATTAGGGGATGAAATAGATCCGGGGTCGATGAAAAGTGAAGGTTGTCTCTAATTTGGTCTTAAGACATATTTGGAGGTGTGTCTTGAAACTACGACCAGCTGTCGAAAGCTGAGCAATATCATCATTAACCACTACTGACAGTCCACTGCTAGACTATGAGTGTCCTGCAGTTGCAGATTGTAGTTTAAAAGACTCCAGTTTATTAGAGAACACTGCTTAGCTTAACAGGTTCTTATTTTATTATTTATTTTCAGCCATGATCGTCCCACTGCAGGGCAAAGGCCTCCCTACCCTCATTCCTTAGCAGGTTCTTGCGACTTTCTTTTTTATTAGCCATGGTCATCCCGCTGTAGGGTAAAAGCCTCACTCGTCTCTTTATAGAGCTTTCTGCGACTATTAATAAAGATAAAGATAGTTTTGTTTGCCAAAATATGTGCAGGTCATTATTTATAATACATGCAAAATTGGATAATTGCTTTAGATGTACAGTTTGAATTAAAGTTACTGTGGAGTTTGTATTAACGTGCTTAACCATGTGGACAAATATTAATTAATTTTGCAATAAATCTATGACTGACTTTTACTGTCAAGATGAAATAATTAACTCGTCGAGTACCGGTTTTGTAGACACAATTATAGAACAATAGGTTGCGGTCACCGGTGACCGCTTGGTGTTTGACAGTTTAATAAATTGATGGTTACAAATAAATTTCTACTCTATCGTCAAACAAGCGTTACATACGGTCAAAATTTTCAACGTCTATTGTGTATTCTTATTGGGTTGCCTCTATCAACATAATATTGCCATCTATAAGTGTGGTCATAGGTATCAAACGCAGCGTAGGCAGGCCTATCCCTATTTAGCCCATAAATCCCCAAGCGGTCATCGGTGACCGCTTTCCACTAATATTACATTACATTATAGACCTTATTTGTAATGTTTAGAGAATACTAATGGATTTCAACGGGTTAGAGCGACTAGATCTTCAGAATATCGAGAACTGACCCAACAAAGACAAAAAAATATATTGACACTAACTATTTTATTACTTCCTATTGCGATTTCAGCGTCACCGATTTTTTAATTAATTATTTTTTTTATGGGGTGACCCGGTAAACGAGCAGATGGATCACCTGATGGTAATCAATCGGCGTCGCCCATGAACACGTGTAACACCAGAGACGTTACAAGTGCGTTACCTGCCTTTTGTGGAATTATCAGACGATTCAGGGAAATTGGGGAGGTGGATAATTGGACCTTCGGTAACCTCACCCACGCGACAAACAATATATATTTTTGATATCGAGATAAAAAATAGCTTCCCAGAAAAATATGCTTTTAATTTTTTTTTAATTGGATCAGTAATATCGGACCGTATTCATTGCAAACAAAAAAAAGAGATCGTTCCCCTTTGTAGGTAATATATCAGGGGTCCCAAATTGTTTTTGGATACCTAAAGTTCGCAAAAACGTATAAAAATTATCATTTCTAACTTACGTACCTACTTATAGGTAGGTAAGTACTATAAGTCGTATAATAGTACCAAAATAATATTTTTAATTTAAGATAATAAGTGTGTGAAACTAAAATAGTTTCTTTTTGTTTGTAAACAAATAATAATCAAATTAATTATTATATTTTCGGCTTACACACGTAGGTAACTGTTTGACGAAGAACTCGTCCTTCCTAATCAAACAGGTACGTGGGTAAGTCGAAAACATAATAATTAATTAAGAATGTCTCACGAAAGTTACAACATCTATATCTATCTATCTCTACTGTAGAATCTAACGGGTAACCGGGGCTCCAGCTCGACGTGCAGGAGAAGGAACGGGGTGGTTTTTAGTCAGTAAGAGTCTGACACTCCCTCCCGCCTCACCCAGACGGGAGCAGTAATTCGAAGATTTTCCCCCCTTAAAAAAAATCTATCTCTACTGTAATAAAATCGTAGAAAAGTCAAAATTGTAGGCACATTAAATACATATTCTTAAAAAAAATACTTGGGGCGTGATCAGTCTATAGATAGGTACTAATGCCAAAAATATGGCTTTTAGAATTATTTTCTGTTGTTTTTGTCTGCATGGATTTACTTCAAATTTTGTATGATTATTACTAATAGGTCAGGTCAACATATAGGCTACATAGTTATCGTCTACGGGGTACGCGCAGTAAATCACTATTCCACGCGAACTAAGTCGCGGGCATAGCTAGTAAATTAATAATTAATTGTTTACAAACTTGATTATTATTTTTAAAAATCTCACGTTGTTTTCTTAGCACATTGTTTTAACTTAGGTATTTGTGTATAGCATGAAATTCAACAATGAATTACTTTAAAAAGTCGATGATTAAATAGTTCCTGTTAATAATAACGTGTACGACATAAAAACTAATAAAAATTGTTTATCACTGTTCTAAGTACGTACGGATTAGCTACAAAAACCGTCATTTTAATATAATAACATCCCTATTATTTGCTCTATTTACTTATAATTGCCATAAATTGCATCACGATTCACACTACAGACCTGAGAAACGATTATGAAGAAATTACACCTGTTGTCATGCGAATTTCTATGGGCAATTATCTATCTAATACCTTTAAACGAGTTATGTATTATATATCAACTATCTCGACAACAGCTTGAACGATTTTTTTAAAATTTTATATTTATGGCATTCCGGGGGCAATAAATCGATCTAGGTTGGTTTCATTTCCAGGTCCTTTTTTGATAACAGGTGTTCTCCTTCAAATGCAAAAACTTTGTACAGCGACGAAGCCATTGCTCCCTGCTCGACCCCGGTATCGAACACAAGTCAGTTTGGTCGGTAAACAAAAAACAATTGGTAGACTCGAATTGTGTAACGATATAGTTTCATATATGTCGATCAATGTATTTCATCATTGAGCTGGAGTGCCTATTAATATTTTTATTTTTTGTTTAGTCGCAATTATAGATATCATACATTTATGAATGATTTAACTTATCATCTGATTTAGGGTAGTTAGTTGCCAGGGAATGAAAATTAAAAACCCAATTAGTCCGTATATATCACCGTCCGTTGTATAAAATATTAGACACGTATTTTTTTTTATTTTCTCGTATAAAGTTACAATACTTAGATATAATGGAGTTACTTTTAGTTTCCCACTCCTACAAAATGTTGCGTATAGTGACGTCACACGATATTTCAGATTATTAATCGTTGAAAGTATTTAAATTTGTGAGAAAAGAAAAAATACTTGTCTAATATAATAAATTAATCTACCAGACTGACATTAAAAAAAAAGCAATTCCTCCTAATTCAACCCCATTTTAGTAACGACATGTTCGCTTATCTTATTTAACGTAACTTTAACTTATCATATGATTCATTAAAATATACCTAACAGGCAGAAATAGCAAATTATCATCAGAATTCAACCCCATTTTAATAATGACATATTCGCTCGCTCCGCCTCCCCACTGTAGCTTCCGTCATATAACCTATCCCTCTACAATGACAGGCTGCCATCACAGGTGATCGTTTACTACATTCGAAGATTTTGTTGTTAAGTATATATTTTAGGTTACAGAACTTATGGTATCAAAGTATTTTCTGATGGTCATAATATTTAATCCCTTTATAAACTCACGGCACAGCAGCTAGTACAGAGCGCCATCTATAATATTTTGTGTTAGGTGATTTTAGTCATTCAGAGTCTGACTTCGTTATTCCCAGGCAAAGGAGCTTCCTTAGGATATCCCATCTTGGGGTATTTACCCAAATTATATTAAACCGATGGTTTTTAACACAGGACAGCATAATTTGTTAAGGATTTGTCTATACCTAAGTCGCAAATCGTACTCAAGAAATCAGCTAAGCAGTCACAATACTTACAATTCCAGCTGTTTGACGTCAATCACGTACCTACGAGTTACCTTCATGTTACGTCAACTTCTGAATAGAAAACCTTGACAATAGAGCACAAAGATCACTTCTTAAAGAATAACCACCATATCCCGTTTTCCCGAAAACCCCCAATACGTCAGATACAGCTCGATTTATTTTTATTTCACTTAGAACTGCGTCACGTTCTTATCACTTCCATTTCTATTTAACAATTCAATAAGTTCATAGGTCTCGCATTGAAATGCTAAAACGTACAAGCCACTTCATGTAGCATAGCCTACTATTCCAACTTGTTTCTACACTCCACCAGTGATATCCCGTGTCTTTTGAGGGAAGGTCGACTTTAGACGTAAAAAAATTGTAATCTTCTGTAAAAATGTACCAAGATAACGAAGTTGGGGCTAAGTTGGAGAAGAACAAGTTTGAGAATTCTATAAGTGAATTGAAGAAGAAGACTTTTGTTTCGATAGCTGATATCGCGAGCTATGGTGAGTCTAATTTCTTTGTGTTGGTTGACTTTGAAGAAGATTTTTATGCGGACAGTGATTTTAAAGAAGAATTGTTTTGGAGTTGTTTTCTTAATAGTATTGAGATTGTTTTTTATTTGTGATGAGATAATAGTTTATATTTTGATTTACTTATAGCTAATTTGAATTTGTTTTTGTGTTAATAATGTATCGAACGCATCCGCGTCCACTTGTGTTTTTAAAATGGTCGCCACTCCATGCCAGAGATTTTTTTAATGTGGTATTAATCGAGTAGCCTAAAAAAAATCAATAGAAGTAAGCACAGTTTCACTGATTATATTATCGTTTTTAATACAGAATTAATAATAGGATCTAATGGAGCTAGTTACATCATCACTTTTGCTTAACCTTATATTGTTTATATAGAATACAATCACCTGATTTCCGGAAAGCAACACCTGTTGCTTTCCGGAAATCCATGCTTCACTAACAACTAGGAAAATATTTAGTTTTTATTGCGCTGAGGGAATAAATTTGAAATTTGCAGCATATTTTTTTTTGCTGTTTTTCATGTTTTTCTTATTTGGAATATCCTATTATAGTCCTAAACATAATTATATTATAGGTATTTAATCTCTAAAATAATGCACTTAATTTAATAGTCTGTAACGTAAACAAAATTGTATGCACATAGAAACATGTCACTATAAATAATCTTTAAGAACATAATATATAGCTGACACTTCATTTTGCAATACTTTTTGTTTGTCATAATATTTATTTATTTATAACCATTTATATTATATTTGTATTATACAATTAACAACGACAAATACACGTGTTATTTATAAACTAGCTATTACCCGCGGCTTCGCTTGCGGCACAAAAGGATTAAAAGCCAATGTGACATATACCTACACACAGCGCCATCTATTCCAATACTTTTGTTTTACCTCGGGAATATCAAATTTTTCCGGGATAAAAAGTACCCTGTTATTTAATCCGGACTTCTAACTATACATTTTCAAAAATTCAAAGCAATCGGTTTAGTAGTTACGGCGTGAAAGCGGAACAAACAAACAAACAAACTCACTTTCCGATTTATAATATTATATTAAAGGATACATAACATTTTATTCAATCGTGTAATATTAAAAATAATCAATAGTTTACTGACACGTCATTGGTCAGTTACTTTACAAGCTATTAACATAAAATATGTTTAAAAACTATTTGGTAGGTGTAAAGTAAAAAACTATAATTATCTATTAATGTCTTAAAATAACCAGAAAGAAGTAAATACGTGCTTACGTAATTTAAAAATAAATTATACCTAATTATTATACTTAACCTACAGATTATTAAATTACAAATTCAAAGGTTTAACTGAAATGTTTGACTTGCGTATGGTCTTATCGTGAAACTCATTCATAGCATACCTAACTGTTGAAAGTGAGTCACTCTACGTCTAGCTGCCCAGTCCCCAAGCGGTCACTGGTGACCGCTCTCCACTTACGCTCTCTACTTAGACCTTATTTCCAATGTTCAGAGACTACTTTGTATGAACAAATGCTGTGGATTTTACATAAACGGGGATTCAGAATCTAGAGATGTACGTCTGTAGCTGAAAACTGTGGATCTGAAAAACACGAAACTTACGCAAAATTCTTGCATTCACTTTGACCATGGACTTTATTTTATTGTGTAAAATATTATACATACGTACAGCTACATAGATACAATGCTATTTAAATTCTTGTTATTGATCCATAATGATACATAACACTTAAACGCCACATAGGTCACAGATGACCGGTGTTAACGGAGAATTTGCCTTCAACAAGTTTCTGTTGACAGTTAAAGGTCTATGTAGAGACTAGTACCCACACAATACTGTGATTTATACATAAATTAATGATCTGATCATTCATTGAAGACTCCCTGGCCCTTACTAGGCTATTCTGTACGATGTCATTCGAAGTGAGCTCAACCGCGGTCCGCCATGTTGGTTGGGAGAATAATTTCGACCAATGACGGGCGAGAATGCTTCGAGACTTTGAAACTTCGAGAGTTCGAATTGACATCTCATAAATTAGCGTAGCTCGTCTGAGGTAGATCTAGCCAATAAGGTCACTCCTAGGTCTCAGAATTGATTGACCTATTTTAGAGGGGGTAAAACCATCCAATTACTTCTGAGTGAGGTGAGACAGAGTGTCAGACTCTAACTAACTAAAATCCACTCCGTTCTCACTTCTGCTTTGATCCGTAGCCTCAGTGACACGTTAGGTTCTACGCAGCTTAATTGATGGACCAGGGAATCGTATACATATCATACCCACGTGCTAACCAATAGGTTTGGCGACCATTGAACTATTATTGGGTTGTATTATAGGGACCGTTTCATACAACAGTCACACTTGTAACTAGCAACGGTTGCATCTGTTTAACCTTTACCCACGAGTTAATATCAGCATTTAATTAACATTGTGGACAGTTAAGTAAGTCTGTTTTAATTTGTATTTGCCTTTACCAAATCTAATTTGTTACTTATACTTTAACGAGGTCGCGGAGAACCTAACGGGTAACCGGGGCTCCGGCTCGACGTGCAGGAGAAGGAACGGGGCGGTTTTTAGTCAGTAAGAGTCTGACACTCCCTCCCGCCTCACCCAGACGGGAGGAGCCATTCGATGATTTGCCCCCCTTAAAAAAAATACTTTCATGAGACAAACTAAATTAATTATTATGTTTTTGACTTACTCACGAAACTATGTGACGAGTAACTCGACTAGTTTCAAGCCATGTTAGACGCTCATATTCATGAGCAGCATTCCGCGACACGTGATGCTGCGACAGTCGCGCCGCTACGATTTGTTCTTTTTTAAAATTATAGGACTAGCATTGACTTTCGTTTTAGAAAAGTTAGTTTTTTTTATTTTGCTTAGAGCCAGGACTCCACTAACTGCCAATTTCAATAAACTATCTCAATCCTGAATCTGTGAATTAGGATCGAGTTTTGACAACCACTCCATATAACTAAATTAACTAAAAATCGTGGGTTACTTACGTGAATATACTGTAGGCTGCGCGACATCGCCGCGACTCACGAGGTAGAACCCCTCTGTGGTTCGAAACTAGTAGAGCTTTTCTCAGTATATTCACGTGAGTAACCCTCGATTTTTAGTTAATTTAGTATGTCCCGCTATAGTTATTATAAATCCGTACAACTAATGACAAAAATGAATCCTTATCCATTTTGAATTGAAATAGTATTAAAAATGGCAGTAAACCGGTGAAGTGACGCGCGTTGCGGAGAAATTTTAAGTAACCAATAGAGTTTCATTATTCACACTACCCCTCTTCTGCAGCTTCAGCGGAGGTCTCTGATTGGTTGTATGTAATAACATCTCCAATCTTCTCCTCTTTTCTCTTCTTTGTTGTAGTCCAGGCCTATATAGTAGCTGACATATTTTCAACCGAATTCATTAGCAATTTTGGCTTTAAGATAGACTCGCGTATCTTAAAGATCCTAAGGCCTTAGCCTTGACCTAAGAACGGTAACATGGTATAGTTTGGTTTGCGAAACCTTGTGCTAAACTATAATTCAGCTTTACATATGACCTTGTTGCTAGGATATATCGTTTGAGTTAATCTAGGTCGTGAGTTTAGCCTACCTACATATAGTATTATTCACTCATGGATACTCACGTATGTAGATATTGATTTTTATCTGAATTCATTCAGTAGCTGAAAGTAGCCTTCAGTTCTTTTTATGTGGCAAGTATATACATATAAAACTTTACACCTGTCTCCCATGGCGGTAGGCAGAGACTATGGAACTCTAATTGCTATGATTCTTACATACTTTTTCGCTTCATCTCATCATGAAGCATCCAGCAGCATACTCGTCGGTTAAGGGTATTTTTAATTTGGCCCTTCTTTAATAAATCGCCATCTGGTCAGTATAATATGTCCGTCTACAGCACCCTCTAGCGTCGACCCCATTCATATTTATGGCAAGTATATAAGTAGGCAAGTACCTAAGTAATATCCATTTATTTGCATATATCCTTGAAAACGTTAAGTTAAAGTGCTTAGATCTAACAGATTGCAAGGGATACCTAAGCATTGCCATTCAACGTGATAAATCTTCCACCCTACCTTTTGTCTATTATGGAAATATTTTATAGCCTTATGCGTTCTATGATATATTGTTAAGTACGCAATAGGTGTCACCGTCATCATCATCAACAGCATATAAATGCCCACTGCTGAGCAAAACCTCTTCTCACACGGAGAAGGTTTTACTATTAATCATCACGCTTGCTCATTGTAGGGGATTTAAACTTAAAATTAGAAATTATAAGCCCAGGTTTCCTCACTATGATGCAATAGGTGTTCACAATCTTACGAGACTGAATGGAGATTGTCTATCATGCTCGATGTGGATTGCATTTTCTAAGGTTACTGTCACATGTTGGTACTCGGTTTCAGAATATAGACTTCATAAATAATAATTGAAAATCTTTTATCATAAAAAAAGATTTTTCACTTTTTCACATTTTACACGCCTATTAAATTTGAGTATTTCTAGTTAAAAAATAACATGGAAATACGCACGAGACACTGGCCAGTCACCGCACCGGTGATCACTCTCCACTTACCTACTCCATTATAGACCTTATTTCCGATATTTAAAGACTACTTCTATATGAACAAATGTTGTGAAATTTTCATAATCGAATATTAAGAAGCTGCTTGTCAGCATTATAACAATCAACTACAACAAATCAACCGGCCATTTTCACTGACGTCACTACTAAACAGAAAAAAACACTTACAAATAAAATACTTAATAAATAATACATGAACACGAGACAACAATACATGAATTACTTGTGTTCTGTACAAAACGTAACGGTTACAAAGAGAAGGGCAAAGTTCGAAAACAAATGAAGTAAGTTACATAAAAATACATTCCCCTGAACTAGTATATATGTACATATTGATATTTTGCACATAAT